AATTATGATGAAAGTAGGTAGCCGGATGTAAATCATACTTATCATCCGCGATGGATTCAATGACGTTTAGTGTACGTTGGCGGTGCACATTCTTGAATTATATTTTTAACCATTGTGTCTCGGCATGAGCTCAATCAAGATGAAAGTTTAGAATCAACCTTCGCAATGTTCCTGATAGTTCAGTTTTGTCGAATCATTTTGTTTTCCTAGATTATTGATAATCTTTCAAAAAATGTAACGAAAATAAAAAAACTACAGAATGATTCGTCGAAACTAAAATGAATCAAAATATTTTCAAAAAATCAGGGCTATCTACCATGGACGTTCATCATATCCATTCATAGTTGATTAACATAAGAAAATCTCAAGAAATTCGTTGAAAATGTACCGTCTTAATTAATTGAAACAAGTTTATTCAATACACTGAAAAGAAAGATTCCATACGGAACTTAAAAAAGGTTCAGAGATTTGCAATGAAATCGAAACCTTTTCTGAGTTTCGTGAAAATATGGTACCGTATCAAACTGTCTTCAATTCGCACTCAAAATGATTTAATAGCTGAAATTTTGTCACGGTTCCAATGGACTGGATCTGCGCTCTCACAATTGGGACCGATAAACCTATCCGTTTCGCTATTCATTTATTCTATTAAATGCAGCGCCTTATGTATAGTCTCTGGCTTATTCATACAATCGATATCTATCTTATTTACTTATTTGTTTAATACATATCTATCTCTTAACTTATCCTCTTGACCTTAATATATCCTCCTAAATTAACCGCTTAACCCCTTAACCTTAGTCTATCAATAATTTACATATATCTTCTAATTTACTATTTGGATCATATCGATAAGAACCTAAAACAAAAGACAAACAATAAATAGGTTTGTTATGATTGAATTGTAATTTACCATTTTGATCATATCGAATTGTATTCAAAACCGAGAACAGTTCAAGAACGTAAACATGACAGAACTTTATTTGAATCGAATTAAAATGGTTTCAGATTGAGAAAGCAAAATGGTTCATAGAAGAGAAGAATTCTTGATCGAATAGGTTAGACTTAATATTGTGAACAGTTTCAGTTCAATAAATAAATCTGAAGCTGAGCAATGGCGAAGATGTAAAAGAAAAATTGGAGTACTAAAATGTGGTTTTGAGAGGTTCGAGGACTGTGATCTATTTCATTCACCAGAAAATTCTGAAAACATGGAAAACTTTAGAAACCTTTCGCTGTGTCAGATAAAAATTCAGAGTCGGTTTTCGACTCGTTATCATACGCTTTTGAGATTGAGTATACTCGGAAACTCTTTGATTTGTCTGAGCAACATTTCAGAAGCCGAAAGGATATTCCTGCATACCTCATAAGACTTGGACTTCATTTTTTGACGATATAAGTTTACAAATTACTCTGACGGTTTCTGAAAATACGATTAGGTTTCCAATATCAAGAGACAGGGATTCCAAAATACTTTAAGAGTGTTGAAATCAGTTTTTTAGGGAATCTAATTTTTTCCGAACCCTCAACAATCAGTAAGATATTTACAAGACTGTTGGTAGCGTCCGGAAACCATCTCTCAAATCTCTAAAGGTTTCCGAATGGATTTCAGAGTGCGTTTGGGTTTTCTAGGAAACGGATTGTTCTTACATAGCAGTTAATGTACCCTCTTAATGTAAATCTAATCTGCTAACGGATCCCGTCAGCCTTAATCTGCCTCCATAGCTAATCCCCTTATGGGTATCTATATCCCTAACTTATCACCTGAGTCCGAATCCAACCCCCAAAATATCTCCATATCTTTGTTTAACCGTTTCACTTAAGCGAATGTACTTGGGCTCGTCAACAGAGAACGTATGCGATTAGTTTTTATTACGATTAGAAATTGAAATACAGTAATCTTTTTTGATAATCTTAAGTACTTCGACCATTTTGATTAGTTTTGACTACTGCGTATTGGAAATATTTTACCCAATGTAGAATATGATTAGCAGTGGACCAATTAGTGATTGATTTCCATTCCATTCGATCAGAAACGAAGTTCGGACAGGTATGTCTACTTTAATGCTCGTGTTTTGAAATAAAGATTGAAGAGTATTTTACGAAACATTTTCGATGCCCGAAAAGGTTTATCAGAAAACATTTTTGGAATACTAAACCTTGAACAGATTGTTTTCGAAATTCTACACGGTGCTAAACCATTTTGAGGTTTCGTCTGTGCGAACGAATCCTTTTCAAGTATAGTAAAGTACCACGGAGCCATTTAAGTTCGATATGAAAACTTTTTTTCAGTGTATATGCTAAGAGAATGAAAATTTCATATATGCATGATCAGTTCATAGCAGAGGCCGAAACAGAGCGAAGCGAGATAGGAAACAACAAATTCTGTCCATTTCGGTCTCAGATTCACAGCATAGTTTTATGAATTGTTGTCATAATTTAATAGATATATGCATGATACTCGTATGACAATAAATGTAAATTATAAAGAATAAGAGTTATATACTGCCATAGTCTTTAAAGACATTAATAATTTATATATTGTTATAAAATCGATAATAGCGAGTAATGTAAACATGTTTTTTGTTGAGATTCTTTCCCTCTCAGTTCTATATTAGACTAATGCATAATGTCAATTACTATTCAATTTAATTGGAAGTATTTAATTGATGCTAAAACAGAATATTGATAGTATTCAAAGTAAATTTAATTTTTCCTGGATATAAAGTTACAATTATATTTGAGACACGAAAATTTTAAGAGTAATATAGTCCGAGAATAAGCCAAATTCAAAGAGTAATTCAGGTAGCGAAAATTATATCCGCGTAGTTAAAATGATAATTCGGCATTATGAATTTCTCTTATTCAACAGAAGTTTGTTGTAACAATAAAATAGATATTATTATTATTTATTTTATCAGAAGTGAAAATTTGATAACAAACTTGGATATGAAGAAATTATTTTATGATAAAATTATTGTCTTGAGCGCTTTTAACTCATAATATGTTTCTTATTAATAAATACAATGACAAAAACATAGGTTTCACAAAGCTGATCTTAACTGAAAATTTTCTATTTAAAGAAAAAAACTGTTCACAAGATCAATTTCTAGTTTTTTTTATACAATATATAGTGAAATGCACTTAACTTATTCAATTGTTTCTTATGAATCTTCTCAAGACTGAAGTCTGCTACATTGAGGTTTTCTTTATAATGATTCTTTGAAAGAGTTCTTCAAAGTTGAAATTAATTGAATTTTCAAGCTTATTAGAGGTTCCATCGAAAAGTAAAGTTTTAGTATAACTATCATTTTTCTTCCAACGTATAGTTTTCATTGAAATGAAAAAGTTTTAAAAAACATCCAAAGATACCAGTGACTTTCATTATAATATTAACAGTAGCTGCATTCACATTTAAGTAGATATATAAATATGTATTTTTATTTGATCGAACTTGAACAGATATAGAAGAGATATTTTTCACATATTCGTTGGTGCATTTTTTGGAACATTCGATATCATTGAAATTTCTTTTTCAAAAATATGTAAAAAAACAGATAAAATATACGAAAATACAATTTGGTGAAGTGTATGAAAAATGGCGTATGTTAGAAAAAAATAATAAAGCAAATTGTAGACTTTCATCGTACTATCGACAAATTAGCATAATAAAATTCCATCAAAGCAACTTGCAAAAGAAGAAAGAAGCAAATCTTGTTTAAGAAAGAATAATTATTAATTATTAGAAGAGACAACTCAGCATGAAGTAATACCCAAGCAGACAAAAGTTTCGAAAAACGCGTTTAAGCGCACAATCGGGAACCGCGCCTGTGATCCATTCACGCTCATTAAAAAAATGCAAGAAACGACATTTTTTGTACAAAATAGTTACTTTTCAAGCGTGAAAACGGTGAAAAACTTAAATTTCTAATGTTAAAACGTTCTCTTTTTCGAGATTTAAAAAACGACGTGTTTAAACGCTCAGTTTTTTATATTTTTGCCGTTTTCATGCTTGAAAACTGACTATTTTGCACAAAAAACGGCGTTTCTTACGTTTTTTTAATGAGCGTGAATGGATCACAGTCGCGGTTCTCGATTGTGCGTTTAAACGCGTTTTTTGAAATTTTTTTCTGCTTGGGTATCACCACGAGGAACAAAACCAGTGAATCGAATAATATAGTTTATGCTATGCACATAATTTTAAACCAAAATTCATAATTGTTCATTTAAATTTCATAGGTGGCTGTACCAACCTAAAGAAAACTCACTAGTACAATATCACGTTCTCAAAAGAACTACTAAGAAAGCACAATTTGTGATATACGTACGGCGGTATCAATTGAGATTTCTTATTGCTTGTCGTAGGACGACGAGATTGATTGAGTTGCGGCTGGTGTTTCTATAAATTTGAGAGAAAGATCAAGAGATCATATCAGATTGATTTACTTACTTGATCTTCAATTCGAGGGCTATGAAAAAGAAGATTATTATTATCTCGAGAATGATGAGCACCTTTTGTATCATAAAAACGAGTGCTACCTCGTTCATCCAACAAGGTTCTTGATGCCGATCGCGCACGTGAAGAGGCAGCACCTGGAACAAATGTGGTAAAACACAAATATAAAAATTAAACACCACTCACTCGCTGATCCTGTTAATTGAGGCATAGGTCTACGATTTTCTGGCTTTCTCCGAAGTGATATGGAGCTATGCATTTTATGTGATAATGACTGAGCGTCACTCGAATGATGATTTGCTTGTAAGCCAGGCAAAGTATCGTAAGCAGAAACATCATTAGAAGAATTTATCAAGTGTAAATCTAAATTACTAGTTGCTCTACGTTGTCTCGATGTTGGTTGCCCGTTAATAGCAAGAGGTGAGATATCATTATCACGTAGTTTCATAATGTCTTTAGTTCGATGAACATTGATGCCTACATGAGATGAAGTACGTCCGTTTTCTAATTTATTAATACGTTCCCCATCATTAGTTCGATCACGAATATCTTTGAATATTGATGAATAATTGTTAGATAACATTGACGTCGGTTGAAGAGAAGAATAAGCTTAACATTAATCAAATGTACGTTTTACTTCTGTACAGTGAGATACTGTAATACTTTTCAACTTACCTGATAATAACATTGGATCTCTGTCAGTTTTTGATGATCTGTTTGTAAGAGCAACTGTTGATAATGGTTGTGGATTAATAACTTCAGCTGCTCGGGTTATATGATCAGGATTCTTGCGACAAATTATCTATTTAATAATCGCGGTAGAATTCTTTTTATGAAAAAATGTTCAATTTGTCAATTACTTCATGAGTTTGAAGTTGCTCTACTGAAAATAATTCTTCACAATATTCACATGGAAGTTTTTCAGTGAAAGGTTTTCTATTTATTGTTCTAAATACTGCAGTGTAGAATTATTAGTTAATGACTAAACAATTTTACTCAGCAAGAGCTTCTACTCGACGAATTTCTTGTTCTCGACAGTTTTGCTATAAGAAAATAATAGGAAGGACAGAACACTCGATAGAAATATATATTTACAGTGTGAGTCGACCAATAACGTAAATCGATCTGTTTATTGCAAATTTCACAGGGAATATGAACAATATCTTGGGACTTACGACGTCTGTTTTCCGACGAACGAGCTAAAAATCAGAAAATGTAGAATATCAACGGGTTGAAATGAACTAGAAAATAATACATTCAGCTGTATTCGATGTTTGGGATATTCGTTCTGATTGTTCATTCGTTTTGCTTGGATTTTCAAGACGATTTTTCTAGACATTATTAAGTCAACGTGAAATACTACAGCGTTGAAAACATATGTGCTATTACAAGACATACCTGATGAATTTTATCATCATTGGGTAAACATTGGTTATTAGAAGATTTATGTGTATTCGTATCTGGTGAACTTCCTTCAAAGAAAGAAGGAAAAAAAGTAACTAGATCCATAATTTGAATATATTTTGAATGAAAGAAAAACTAACTCTTGTTTGAAGCTAATGATGAAATTTCATCGAATAGTTTTGGTCGACTATTCGGAGAAATATAGCCACTATCATTTTCTTGGTCGTGATCATTGACTTCATTCTGTCGTGACACTGGTCTATTAGATTTTGAAGAACGATGATGCGCTGATGAATTTCTAGATTGAATAATAGGAGTGTCTGTCTCTTCCAAGTTAGCACAGTTGTTTTCATAGTGATAGGCGAAAATAGCTCTTCGAATAAATTTACTGCAATTTGGACATTGATCAGTTTTATTTCCACATAACATTAAATGAACGCTAAGAGCAGATGATGATGATTGAGATTCTTGACAAAAAGAACATTTAATAGATTGACTATCGTAATGATTTAACTATAAAAGTAAAAGTCTTTGAAGATCAATAATCATTGTTAGTCATGGCCTACTTTATGTTGATCAAGATCTTTTTGATTCGTATATTTTCGGTCACAATCACCTTCATTTGTTTCCTTTTTCTCATCATCTAGTCTCAGCTGACGAGAACTCCTAGATCTGCTGCCAACATAGAACAAGTAAAATTATTCTTATATTTTAAAGATTCAGACAAACCTAGATCGAACAGAATGTGTAGTTGTCATACGAAAATAACTATTTAGTATCTAAAGTAGGTATTCATATGACAAGTTAAATTCAACATTTTTTAAAAATTTCTATTTATTGAGATAATAAACAAAAGTTTTATTGACCTTCGAGCAATATGAGAAGATAAGAAACATTTTATTTATTACTGTACTTGCACTGTAATATCTACAAAACAATTTTTTGCTTTGTTCAATAACAGCGTATCTTCTAGTTTGCAAAGTTCGCATTCAACTTACTCATAAAAAATATTTGCATTACTCTTTTTGCGCAGTGAAAAAGTAAAATAGCAACAAAGAAAAATCATCATACAAATGAATTTTAAAAGAAAAGAAAAGAGTAAGATCATAGTCGACGACAGAACAAATAAGAGTTTCAAAGCAGAGTAACCTCTGATTCGATAAATTTTAACCAAAAGAATTAAAACGCCACTGAGAGAGGTCAGCAACAGATGAATATCTGATTTTATATTGAAGCAAAACTCTTTTTTTTATCATATAAACTTCAGAATTTATTTTTCCATTTCTAACACACTTCATTCAATAAATATGCTTTCAGTTGTTTCAATTTAAAGAAATCTTATTACTTGAAAAATATATTCAACATTTTATGAATTAACATGAGGAAGAGTTAGATGGCGCGGTTAGATCAACCAGTATTGATCAGTCATCTCATTCTCTAAGAGCTGAGCTAGAGTGGCTTATTTTATTTTGATATCATTATTACGTCTACGTCAAAGATAAATAGAGGACAAGACGAAATTAAAATTCTTGTTATGGTCTATCGTTTAACAAAATAAGCAAGGGCCAGATGCACGAACTCGTCCTGTTAGATTGTATGCTTTATAATGAGTCACATGACGGGACACAATAATGAAAAAATGAGCTCTAAATTGCAAGTTAAAGACTAATCTATACAGTGCAATTGAATAAGACAAGTGCAATATTTAAACAAGAGCAGAGGAGAATTAGACAATGACAGTGATAATTATAAACCTGATGTAAAACAATTGTGCTCACACGGTTAATATTTGTGCTTGAAAGTTAACAGATATAAACTAACAATTAGTCCATTGATAGTTTAAAAGAAAACAACAACGAAAGTTTTGATTTTCGCCGAGTATAGCTCGATCACTTCATTTCATATTACCTAGATCGATATCTTTGCAGTATTATTGAGTGAATTATTATTGAAAAAGCTGTTTTTTTATTTCGAATCAATGTGACATAGATTGACTAGAGGATGGCTGACAATGTTATATTAGTTTTTTGCCGGATAGAAAATCAAAATAAGAAGTCCACATGTCCTACATGGTGTTTGCCTTATCTTGTCCTTCAAAACAGAACAAAGTACAGAAAAAATCGTCCTAGGTTCATCTCTCGTATTTACCTTCTCTTTTTGTCGATGACTACAGTGATGTATTAACTAATTTTTAGATTTGCTTATCTGTAAGTAAATATACAATTAATATGCAACAATATTACTATATTTGATATTTTAGACTCTTGTGCTAAACATTAAGATAAGTACTGTGATGTTGATGATCTTACCAAGCTATCGATTCTTTTTTTTCGAACCGTGGTAAATTTTAGATTTCACTTACTAATGATTGCAGCCACTTGATACTGATACATATTTAGGCTACCATTGTCGGTTTGTTAGTGAAAGCACTCCTTTATATTCGATATGCATGACTTGTTAACTTTTTAGTTGATTTTGTCGGACGTTTGCTTTATACTATTGTCCATTTCAGAGTAAAGTGGACGTGGGTATATTTTGAATAGTTTTAAAACAACAAGGGAGAAATAATTCGGGTTTTTAGCACTATCTAGAGTCGACATTACTCTATCTTTTTGCAAAGTCAATGAAAAATCTCAGTTATTTTTCTCCTTGGATGCATCCTACACTTTGTAAACGAGCTTAATCTGCCGTGAAAACAAAACGCTTTCTCGACTATAATATAATGGNCTATCTATGTTTAATTTTGTTTTCTTGATTTTGTGCAATAAAATTAAAAAGATAATGCTAAACCTTCTTGCTATTTCATTACGAATAGGCTTAAACCATAGTTTGATATTAAAAAAAAACTTTCTGCTTTTTTTTCTGCTTTTTGACAATAAAACTTCTGTCATTTTCTGCTTTTTATAGATCATTTTCTGCTTTTCGAACGGCAAAAGGTGGCAGCACTGCTTATGATCCATGCTAAACACACGAGGCTATATCGTCTTTGCCACATACCTTTCTTTTGTGTGTTCTTCTTTTCTCGTCTTTTTCGTCATCATCTGTCTTCGTTTTCTTCTCTTGCTTGTCTCCTTTGATGACGAACCGTCTTGATACATGTCAAGGCAAGTCTCTTCCTTGCTTTTAGAATGTGCATAGTTATTTTGTTCAACATTCTCAAAAATAAAAACTATTAAATTTATCAAAACACTTTGATGCATAGAGTCTTTGCTATCATAATATTATCTAACGAATGAGCAAACATTCAAAATTTATACAGCTCGATTTTACCTACACTATAAACTAGAAAATAAGTTATAGAGTTTAATAAAGGAAATTCTAGGAATTCCCATATGAATTCAACGATGAATTTTTAATTCTTTGAAAATAAGATAGTCGAAACATTAAGAATAAGAATATTGATTTTCTAATTAGAAAATCAACTGTGAATTCATATGGGCATTCCTAAAATTTCGGATTCTATTTAGCAATTCGAGTATTTTTGAAAAACTGGAAAATCGAATTTTATTGTCGTATCATAATGAAGTATCTTTTATTTATTTTATAAAATAAATTATTTTATTTTATTTTTATTTTAATAAATTCATAAACATTGAATACACTAAATGCATGAAAAAACATCAATTAATTTTAAATTTAATTTTAATCTAAATAAATTCATAAGCATTCGATTGATATAAATGCATTCAAAATGCATCGACTCACGCAACAGCTGAAAAAATATAATGTATCAACCTTCACTACAGCTGCCGAAGGAAATAATGAATGCACAACATTCCCGACCTGACTTATATACATTAATGCACAATGGCTTCATAGCGGTCATTGTTCAAATCATTTATTCCAAATCGAAATTGATTTTTGAATTTTATTCATAATCGCTCTCGATTTTCCATTGTTTTGAAAAATGAATTTTTTCAAAAATCAAATTGAATTTCTGTAAATTCCAACATCAAGTATTTCCGAAATTTTCGAAATTCACGTAATAAATAATAAAAATTTGAAAATGCTGCAACTTTTTTAAAGTCGATTTTCTAAAAAGCAGAATTTCAAAAAAATCTACAGTGTATCATGAAATACGAAACGAAAACTTCCTCAAACCTTCCATACAATTGTATACTATCGACATCACTACTTTTCGTAAACCCCTCCCCGTAATAGAAGCCCCTCCTATATTAGAAGCCCTCCCCCTATTAGAAGCCCCCTTTAAAAGATTTATCCAGCAAAATTTTCAATTTTTCCCAGCAAAATCCGGCCAAAGTTTGCAAGACCTAATAGAAACCCCGGGGGGCTTTTAATATGGGAGGGGGTTTAGGCTCTAAGAAATTTCATTTGCACATTCAAATAAAGAACGTTTGAAATGCAAAGATAAAGACAAGCATTAAAATGGGCGCTCAGTCAAACGAAGAGAGTGACAAGACTCTTATCTCTATTGTGTTTGAAACAGACCTGATAAAACACGTTTCAAAACGTTAAGTAATCTTCACATGCATACACAACTCTAAATACATACACAGGGTACATGAGTATGACTGAAGAAACTGAACCGAACGGGACGCGTACCCCTGACTCGCAAGTGATTGAAGAACTCGATGATTTCAATGAAATCGAACCAACAACTGAAGAATTAGCAACATTGGAACATATTTCTGATCATATACCACTCGCCGTCTGGCTCATTGTTATTTGCGAATTATGCGAGCGTTTTGCCTACTATGGACTTTCTGGACCTTTTCAAAATTACATTCAATTTCCGGAGCAAGGTCCAAATAATACACAACCGGGTGCCCTCAATCGTGGACAGCAGACAGCTACTGCGTTGACAACATTTTTTCAATTTTTCTCTTATCTTGCGCCGATCGCTGGTGCCATTCTAGCCGATCAATTCTGGGGAAAATACAAGACGATTATTGTTGCATGTGTGGTCTATATGGTTGGTCTAGTCGTTCTTGTCCTTAGCAGTATACCACCATCTATTGATAAAGGCGTTGCGTTTCCCGGTTTAATTGTAGCTATGGTCATTCTGGGTGCTGGTGCCGGTGGCGTGAAGAGTAATGTGAGCCCATTGATGGCTGAACAATATACTAGAACAAAACCTATAATCACAGGTGAATCATAGGTCTTTCGACGAAAACATTCATCTTTTTGTTTCTTCATAGAAATCAACGGCAGAAGGGAAATTATCGATCCAAGAGTGTGAGTCGATTAAATCCTCATCTTTTAATTCGTCAGACTACTGTTTCCATTGTATTAGAACAATTCAATCAATGTTCAATTGGTTCTATTGGGCCATTAATATTGGTGCACTATCATCAATCGTTACTACGAATACCGAGAAGTATCATTCATTCTGGCTCGCCTATCTTCTACCCTTGATTGTATTCATTGGTGCCATTGTTGTATTGATCGTTGGTCGTAATCGATATGTTCAAAAGCCTCCATCTGGTTCATTACTCATTCGCGCGGGTCGTGTGATAGGGACTGCTATCCAAAAGCGATGGAGATTTGGTAAACAACCTAATCATCGAAATCTTTTGGATTATGCCAAGGAAACGTCACCGCAGGTGGATGAAAACGGAAGAGGGATAGTAGCAGTTGTAAACAACAATGCATTTGTTGATGATCTCCAAAAAGCAGTAAGATCTTGTCGGGTCTTTCTTTTCTATCCATTCTATTGGATCTGCTACAATCAAATGTCAACTAATTTGATATCGCAAGCTGCCCAAATGAATGTCGGTAAGTTCGTGACTTTTCGTGAAATTATAAAGGCAGCTCTGCGCCCTCTAATGTTCCATTCTTTCCGATATTCTTTTCAGGGCCTCTACCCAATGATGTTTTACAAAATATCGATCCAATCGTTTTGATTGTTTTCATTCCGGTCTTCGACAAATTGATCTATCCTTGTATGCGACGGTTTCAAATCAATTTTGCACCGATTGCTCGTATTACTCTTGGTTTCTTCTGTATTTCTATCGCCATGGCATGGGCAGCAGTCGTTCAAAATCAAATCTATGCTACTGGTCCGAATTATAGTTTCCTGAACGAGCTGGAAGAAGGACAACAAAAATATAACGATATCACTGTAGCTTGGCAAACTCCAACTTATTTTTTTATTGCTATTTCCGAAATTTTTGCCTCGATTACTGGTCTGGAGTATGCATTTACGCAGGCACCAGCTTCGATGAAGTCAATTGTCATGTCACTTTTCTTATTCACATCGGCTATCGGCAGTGCTCTTAATTTTGCACTTGTACCAGTGTCAGTCAATCCGAAGTTGCTGTGGATGTATATATCACTATCGATTGAAGCATTCGTCGTCGGTATCCTGTTTTACATTGTCTTTCGTAACGATCACAGGATACACGCAGAAGAACCATCGATGGAATAATTCATGTCAATGCTTATCGTAGTATTTAATTTTATGGTTTCAATGAACATAAAAAAATAGTTAACATAATAGCGGAAATATGTCATTTTTTTTTCTTTCTGTGCTTCAAGTTGATTAATGACGAAATTGAATGCTAATGCAAATCGTTTTGTGATTCTTTGGTCAGAAAATTGCGCACACTTTAATAGATTCATATAGATGAAGGTCATTGGTATGAGCCAGTTGACGTAGCGTTGGATGAAAGTGATGGTATTTTTAGAGTACTCAAACTCTCATTATATTATTATTGTAAAAGTTTGTACCTAAGTGAATTGACCTCGTCGGTGCTGGGGACTTGCATTGCGGAAAAGTTTTCTTGCACATATTATGGTAAAAATGGAAGATAGAAAAATAAATCGTACATCAAATTGATTGTGAATGTGCCAAATGAAGACCTATGGGCACTAGCACATCCACACTCAGACATAGGCACATCTATGTATGCGACGCATGCTGTCTTTGTGCTTCTTTCATTATCTTTGCAATGAACTATTGCAGTGAACTCAATAATTGACTGAGTGTGTGCCGGACCTGAAAATAGCCTGCAACTAGTTCTCCTATCCAAAGATCAAAGCTACTTTTCCTAAAGCTCACTCTAAGCCTTATAAAGCTCGAGTTCCAACGAATTATTTGCTTATTTCGGTAGCTCATGAGCGATCAACAAGCAATCTCAAAGATTAAGATTAATACCCTATACATTCAGACTGGTGTATTTACCTTCTGCTGCAAAACTATTACCTTCTGATGACGAAATGCATCTTGAAGATTTTCTAGTCGACTAATACATCTTTCTCTATTGAGATCGACTAAATTTTTTTGTTTTGAACTATCAATACGCGTTCATTTAGGTTGCGATATGCAATGAATACAACATAAAAACTTCTTGTTTAGATATTCCTCAGTTACTGGAAAGATATTCCAGAGAGCATTGGCAGTTGTTCGTGCAGCTGAATACTATTTATTGCTAGATACCAGATACTGAAAGTATAAATGTACTCCAGTGCATGATTTACGATGATCTCATTGAGCGTGGCGAGGCACTCTGTGGACCTCGCACGATCTATGGAAGATCTGCAGACACTCAAACACATAGCTCTAAGATTTTTAAGATTTCAGCAAAAAACTGGAGCTAAACCTGCGCCGAAATTTCAAGTTTTAGATCGATCAGATGGAATAGAATCGAATTAGACACATTTGAACCATTTTTTGATTTTCAGAATACTGGGATTGGCGTGATATTAGTGATTTCATTTCTCTAGTACAGGAAAGATCAAAACCCACTAGGAGCATTTTTTACATCTTAACGAGCTCTATAACATTCAGCAACTTTACTCTCTATTCCACATATTATTCTGGTTTTGGCTGTCAAATACCCTGTCTATTCGTGTAGTTACTGTCTTGAGCAACTCAAATCCTGTTTTTCTTGGTCGAAATGATCAGAGGGATCTAAAATTGTAGTTTTTGATTTCATTCATTATGAAAACTATAAATCTATTCGTTTCATGCTGACACAGTATGCCTCCTGTCAAACATTCATCAGATTACCCATTGATATCCGTTTGGGATTTCGTCCGTTTAGGAGAACTTTTCGGCGCATTGATAGTTCTCTCAGTTCTTGCATTTAATATGGTAGTGTTTTAGATAGATAAGTGGAAAAGGTACCTAAAGTAATTTTGCTTTTGGTTGGAAGGATTTTTCCACTGAAAATTGCTCTACAATAAAAGTCGTGTATTGAGGTAAGAGACATTTAACTATTTACTGGATATGTATTAAATAACTTCATTGTTTTAAGCTGTCAATAACAAATACAGTTGTTTTTTTTTTATCTGGTTCTCTTATCTCGAAGTTCACGATACGAATTTACAAATTTGTTTTTTTCTAGCTTGATAATCCACAGGATAAATACTGTAATAATAAAAGGAAAATTACAATCAAAACTGCTTAGAGTCAAATCATAAGTTCATCAAACGCGCTAACATTATTCAGTCAATCGTATCTCGCTATCCTTCATGCATTGGAAGGTAGTGAAAATTTTGGAATGGGTACTCAACAAACCTTTTTGGCTCATGATAGTCAGAGTAATGCATGTCTTAACACCAACAACATTCAAACTTTTACAAGTTCTAAACATGACACTGGAATATCAGGTACAATTAGGAATACGTATCCAGCTCGTTATAATATTGCAGGGAAGCAGTACGACAGCAATGTTGATGCAAACCATTAAAAAAAATTCGTAGTGGTCATTTTCTTATGTGTTAATCGGTGAGGATATTTTCTGTTCTCATAGCCGGTGCGGCTCGAAGTGTCAAGTCAATACTGAAACCTGTAATGACCAACAGTTCAAAAAAGTATGTCTTTCTTTGCCTTAAACACTGCTATATGTCTCATCTATTTTAGTCTATCTATCAATAACATTATCATTTTTTAAAGAAACTGTAGTTTATTTTACAACCGTACGATCCATAACAATAATATTTATACGACCAACATGCACACTAAAATACCCGTTCATGCTGTAGGGACAAAGACAAGTGCTGTAGCAAGTGAGCAAGAAGACATCGTTGCTGGCCTTCAAAATGTTTCAGTCACGTGAAAGAAGTCCCAGTCATGTACTACACCGGGTATTACATTGAGACATACACTTATTTTCCACGTACGATCATCACGCATATAGTTGTATTCGTGTTCGTGACAGCAGAAAGCATTGCGCTAGCGATAATGATCTAGCTAATGATTAATTCAAAGCTGAGACCTTTTTGTATGAAAATCTTCACTCTCTGTTTGGAAGCTCTAGCTATCTTATTGAATACACTTTTGAAAAAAATATACTCTATAATTTTCATAGTGGAAATGTTTTCCATATTATGGATGCAACAAGAAGATGGTGGTTTGGTGGATGGGTATGAATGTGAGCGTTCTCTTCAGTCAAATCGAACCATGTCTAACATCAGTATTCGATACTGTCGACAATCTGTACTATTGATTAGTGAAGGTGTGAGTGTATGGTGGATATAAGTGTGGTTGTAAAGATCATTTCCACCCATATACTTCGATTCTCGCCATCAACAATGAACTTTTCTTGTCTACAAAAAAACAGCAAATTCTATACTATGGGTGGGTGTAGAAAATTAATCTGTAGAATTTTTGAAGAATGTCAGAAAGAATATGTTGGAAACACTTCTATATGGGATAACAAACAAGAATGTCCAATGCATACTCGAAAATTTCTCTTGCATGTTTTGACCACATCAGTTTTCAGCAACGTCCGATCTTTCTTAGGAATATTTTTCGACAGGTATGTTGCTTTTTTGCATGGGTTCTATCCTTCTATTCTCCGGTGAATATGTAACCGTGTGCCAAATTTGATGCTGGTTTGAAGATGATAATCTCATCACGCTTGCTCTATTAGCCGCCTTCAAACAAAACAAAGTCGACTTTAAATCAATTTCAATATAGCAAGAAACAAGAATGATTGACTTTTGCAAGGTGTGCGATGGTTTACTCATTTGGCTTGTCCTCTCAGCTCAACAAAGAGTTACAAAACATCGTAAGTAATATTACTGAATCAATGTCAGCAGGTTTCAGAAACAGATCCCATGTCCTTGGTAATGCACGGCGAGCTAAAATCAAATGAATCTTCAACTCCTGACCCTTATATTCAGCGATTTAATGAGTACGCGTACAAAAGCACGTTGCTGTCAGTAGATAGTTTATTGGGTATTCTTTAGAAAGAGTCGGATTCAAGCTAATTCAACTTAATAATAACTTCTATTTCATTCTCTCATTCTAACACGATCAAGTCCAACAATTAGTCTCAGGCGATAAATCTAACTGAAAAACAGTTTTCAGGTCTACGTAGAAAATAAATAAAGGATGGATTAATAGACGACACACGCCGAAAACGTAGTGAAGCTTCGCTTTTGCTCAAGATAGCAAAGGAAAGTTAATATAACTTCATTCAACTATCGATTAAATCTATGATAAAAAAGTCTGAAAGTTCCAGATTATATCTTAATTTTTTATTCATGTAGATCTCATTTTGGTTTTTTGAGTTAGATATCGACGAATTCCATCGCTTCTGGCGCGAAAATTTCTAGATCAAAGTTAACAACATCTTTCATTAATAAAATCTATATCTTGCACATCAGCAAAAATGTGTTTGACACAAGGAAATTTCATACAATGGCACAGTTTTCAGTTTAATCATAAAAACTAATGACAGATGACGTTTATCCATTAGATTTATCATTAACTGATAGTTTAACAAATTTATCGTTTCGGATTACATCTTCATCAATATCATCAATGACAACTGTTCAATCGTAACATCAACTTTTAGCGTGTACTTGATCAAAATTATCTGGTGAAGATGAATTTATTTTAGCATGTGACAAAGAGAAGTTATGTTATTCAGAAATGTTAAAGACAAAGAAAAGCATTATTGTATTAGCGAAGAATTAAAATATTTTAAATTAGATGTTTAACATTTTAATGTAATAATCAAGCCATCTACTACATACATCAGCACTGTAATTCTGGAAAATTCATAAAGATCGGTTACCTTCATTATCAGACTTAGCTAAAGTCGATCGGGTAGCATCTGCAACCAACGTACCAAGCAAATCTGCATTTTTCTCGTCGAAATTTGCAGCTCCTATAGAAATGAGTCGTATTATCGGTCGCAATTTATTATACACGTTTTCTTTGGAGAATAAAGTATTAAATCAATAGTCAAATATTTTAATCTTATATATATATATTGGTTTGAAGTTTATTTTCTTATTAGATTGATGTATATTCTTATATTAAAAATCCCAATTTTGTTAATTCCTTCTATTGTATGAGTTACCGAGACGTACGTCGTTTTCATTTTTTTTCTCTTTAAATTGTAATTATTCCTCTGCTTTTGACAAAGCAATATGTACTTTTCCAAAGTATAAAAAGATTACAAGAAGGAATTCCATTGAATGATTTGCACAATGATAATAACTTATATATTTCATATTTTTGTTGTGTAAATATAACTTATACTGTTAAAGTTTCTTTTCATTAAACCTAATTTTGTTGATCGATAGTTTCTATTGTGAAGATCAAGCAGCCAAGCCAAAACAGATCTTTTACTACTCATCATGAACTATTGAGTAATAATAGGATTGGACAAAAAATGATTAATCAATGGGAAATATTCTGTCGTGAAGTACGAAAATCTCGTTCTTAATATTATTGACAGCATGCCGATTAACAACGTATTGCTTGCTCGATGATGGATGTTAGAGTTGAGGGTGTGAATGTAATACCTCGTGATAGCATTTGATTGAGAATGCAGCATGGATAGGGCTCTATCCATTGCTTCACTGTGAAACCGTCTTCTAGTTTCACTTTTTTTGGTAAACCTGCCACAGATTTGAATTTCTCGATCTGGAGCACTTTCGGCCATACTTTAGAAGTGTGATTAGTTATTTAAAACAATCACTACTTTTTACTTCAACTCTCTTTTGTCAGTGATATTTAAAATTATCTGAACTATCGCTGTTTTCTATAAATATACTTTGTTTGCTAAAATGCATACTTCTTTTTTCGAAAATTTGTTTAACATAGAGCGTGAAGATTTTTATGATCTGTTTATTCAGTTATCGTCGCTTGTTTGACTATAAATACATATTATTTTTCACTTATTTTATATGCTACTGAGATAGAGAACACGAATATATTTTTTCTTTCTATACAATGAAATCAATTATTTAAGCTGAGAAGAAAGATGTAGAAACCATTAGAGAGAAGATAAGATGAAAGAAATGAAATAATTGAAAAAATGTGTTTCACACATAAAAAATGAATACGTTTGAGCACTGTGTTAGTTGTATGTCGAAAAAGCACCAAAAACTAAGATAAATGAGCATCAAGTTATTTAAATTTTAGATACCCAGGTCGAAAAGTACGGGCCGGTTCCGGCAGGAAAACACCGGAAATCGCCGGAACATGGTAGTAGTATTCCTGCCGAAAAATTTGCTGGATTTTTTCCGCTGAATTCCAACCAATTTCCTGTATTTTTCGGCAGGGAACGACTGGAAAATTGTCGGAAAAAATTTCGAAGATTTCCGGCCGGAATACTGCTTTCACGTCCCGATATTTCCCATGTTTTTCTGCAGGATACGGTGATTTTTCCCGTATTTTCCTGATGGTTCCTGCAGTATCCGATGGCCGGAACGATCGACCTTGGTAAACACAAAAAGAACAACTGTTTTCACAAAAAACCAACAACATTGAAAAATAGATAATGAATGCAATCAAGATGAACAAATAAATATGATTATAAAGAAGAGCAAGAAATTTTTAGTAATAATACAGACCGAACATTTTTTAATCTACCTTGTCCTCGTCGTTTTCGTAAGAGTACAGAACTAGTTGTTTAAAATTTATGAAATAAATTTTAAACAACGAAACTAAGCCAATCGAATATTTAAATAAATACAAATTGCAGCATTTGGGCAAATACACTCCCTAAGTGGTAAGACTAACCAGCATGATTTCGTTCATGTAATCGATTCATCATATGATTTCCACTGTTGTAATTGATACATTTGTAACCTAAATGTTGGTGTTTTTAAGACGTTTGGTGATATAACAATATACTAAGTATAAAACCAAAGTAATATATGAATTTTATTAATACGACTTGTCCATTTGAAAGCCTGTAGCTCTGAGCCAGATGGTATTCAACGTTTAGTAGAAAAATCTGGTAACAATGATGTTCTTGACTAATAATTTATTACCTCTTTCATTTTTGGTAGAAACGACGATAATTGAAGTTTATTTCTAAGTGTATTATTGTCTAATTTTGCCATTCATCAATTCACAACCATTATTGGTTGAAGGAAGATTAAGTGTTAAACCTTCGTATCTATAATACTAAAATTATATATAATTACCTATCACAAAATAAGCAGCACAAGTTTTCTCTCCATAGTAACATTTTTATTACGTATTGTTCAAAAAAATATTGTTGAAATTGCTGCAGAAATGAATCATTACTCCACTTTTGCATTAATAATGATGCACCATAGTTCAATCTGTTATCTGAAAACTTTAATTGTAATGTCCGTTTCAAAATATAATGCGTCCCACTGTTTTTTGAATAACTCAAGAACGCAATGAGCTAGAGACCTGCGGTTTTCACCAATCGATAGAGGACTCGTGGGGGTACAAGTCTATGAGCAAGCCAAGAATTGATCTTGTTTTGAAGATACCGCAGTTCCTGAATCTTTGAAAGAGTCAGCTATAAAATTATGGCACCTCAATTGTTTTTTATCGTTACCTGATGGATAGATAGGCTAGAGCCTCTGCTATCAATCTACACAAGCCCAACTTTGATAGCTACTGTGGTTTGGAAGATATCATATTTTTGCTGAAGTGCACTTATTTCTTTTTATTTTCTAGTTTGTGCAAACAGAAAATAGTTGTTAATAGAGTTAAGCATTCACAATAGATCGCATAGTAATGGTTATTTTGTATGGAAGGCACTACTGCACACAAAGATTTATAGTGTTCCATGTGAAATTTGTCACAACAAAAGTGTAAGATTAAATTAATATATTTCTAAGAAGATTTGAAAATATGTTTTGTGCAATCTCATCAAACTGAACGGATACGCATATGAATGCGTAACGCTTATTAATATGTTTTGACCTATTTATACTGAGTAACAGAGAGCAACGCTTCATCATAGAACTATAATAGATAAGTCACATTTTCTTTTCTTTTCTTTTCGTTCAATTGCAGAAGAAAATCGTACCACAATTTTTCTCTCGTCTAAACTATAGAAAAGAAAAGGAGAGGCTTTGTAACTGTCTCCAACAAATATTCATTGTAAGACACGTCCATTTCTTTTCAACTACAATTTTTGTGATCAAGATTTCAATTAGTAAATGATGCCAAGAGGGAAAGAATTTTCCAAAGATTTAAAAGAAATGATGTTTCGCGTTATCTTATTCGTGGAAAATGAAAAAAATGGTCCTATCATTCCATTATATAATGTCAATGAACGACTCCGTGCCATGTTTGGAATACCAGACCGATCCATATCGAACTTAAAAAAAGAGATGAACGAGCTGCAGCGCCAGGAAGATGAAAGAGAATCTCAAAGAAGTCGAAGAAGATCAACCACGTCTTCACCCATTGTGCAATCACATCAAAAACTGACTTGGTCATCCTCATTACCAAGAGCAAGTGCCAATGCTCCAGAACCACTTTCTCTAAAAAAAGCAGGACCTAGTGGAAGGAAGTCTATTCAATTGAGTGAATATGCAGAAGACATGATCAGACTCCAGTTTCATACGATACTATCTAAAAGAGAATATCCAACAACGACCAAATTATTGGCATGCATAAAATCGAACTATCCTGGTTTCCCAATTATATCAAGAACAACGTTATGGCGACATATGAAAAATGTATGTGGAGAATAAATCATTGAGAGTTAGGAACATAAATCTTTTTGTTTCATTTTAGCTTGGCTTTGTGTATAAGAAGACGTCGAGCATGAAGATACCTCTCGATGATATCAGTTTTATTGCTGCACGTGCACGATATTTTCGGATATTAGATGAGCTTCGTGCCGATAATGCTATAATATTTTATCAAGATGAAACATGGAGTAATGCTGGTGATGAGAAGAGAAGCATTTGGATAGCTGAAGGTGGTAGTGGACGTTTGAAAAAGTCTGATACGAAAGGTGAGATTGAAAAGATGATCATTTATTTGCATACAATACTGTTGAATCAATCTTTCCCAGGTAAAAGGCTAGCATTAAATGGAATCATCAATGAAATGGGATTTNTAACGATAAAAAACAATTGAGGTGCCATAATTTTATAGCTGACTCTTTCAAAGATTCAGGAACTGCGGTATCTTCAAAACAAGATCAATTCTTGGCTTGCTCATAGACTTGTACCCCCACGAGTCCTCTATCGATTGGTGAAAACCGCAGGTCTCTAGCTCATTGCGTTCTTGAGTTATTCAAAAAACAGTGGGACGCATTATATTTTGAAACGGACATTAGTTTATGAATATGAGCATCTATTTGATTCCACTTATCTTTTGAAAAAATATTTCTATGTTCTCGACATTGATGAATTACATGGGTCTAACTCATTAAAATTTTCGCTTGTGAAAAACTTTTCTGTTGAGCACTTCTTATATCTAAATAGAAGCCTTATAAATACTTATAAAAAAAAGAGCTTGTAAAGTGTTTTACCTGACACACTATCAACCACTGAGCATTTCAAAATGTATGGATGATTATATACGTGCGTCAATATAAGTCACAGTTGATTAAATAATTCTTTATACAATGCTGATCTTTTCCAATTATAGATATTAAGGTAATACCAAAAGGATAGAATTGACGACTAGCATCTAATGCTCCGTACATTTGCAATGAAAATTCATTTCAATTAATTTTATGTGTCACATCTATTTGCAATTGATGCTGTAAATTTTGTTTGCTGTGTTAATTGTTTAGTAGTAAACAATGCAAAAAAATAACGATTATCTATATTAATAATAGAATAACAAGGTACGGATGTCGAATGTAATGAATTGTCATTATATTTATGATAATTTCATCATTGATGCAAACCATATTATACTGAAATTATTTCTGAGTTATTTCGTTGTCGAACAGACATAATTAAATTCGCTAATTGATTGTTTAGTATTGAAATATCAGAATGATACATAAATAATGCAGATCTAATTTGAGTTTGTGTAAGATTACATTTAACATATTTCACAACTGAATGGCGTACCGAAGAAGGTAATCAAGTTGTCGTATTGCGTTGTTTATGAGAATCTGCAATTTTGGACAGAATCTTGACCGCATCTGCATCATTGTCTGGAATATTAAGTTGTGTGTCATATTGATACAAGAAATATTTTCGATATTGACGACAGTGATATGGATATTTACTAGAGATGGATACATTGAACGTACGGTATTTTGAAACTTTGTTTTATTATACTATTGCACGGACTTCATTGAATGTCTTGACGATTTGCAAAATTTCATATTCGTCGCTTGACATTTTAAGATGGTTGTACAGAAATGTTTACTTGTGTATCATTAGCATCCAGAACCTTTATATAAAAAAATTACTTTTGAATGCCATCATTTTCAAATTGTCATGAGATTAACAGAAATCCTCTAAGCTTATTAGAATTTTAAATTGTTATACACAGACAACACAATCTTCGTTCATTTAACATGTATTAAATAACCACGATTGTTTCATCTTTTTTCTTTCTGACTCGATTGCTCCATGGTCTTTTTTTATTGGTGCTCACTTCACATGTAATCATTTTGGTACTCAAAGTCACTATCGTCCAATTGGTTGACTCGTCAGTGACTAACAACTTCTTTTCAAGAGAAGAGCAGAGAAGAGACGATCGAAAGAGAAGAGTCATTCTTAGCAACATATTATCTCTCGTTGATTTCTACTTTTGCTGCAGGATGACTAACAAATGAATTGCAAATATGGCTCATTGATCAAATTTATGACTACGAAAAAAAGCTTTCCAAAGCCTTCATTGTCAACAAGATATACTGATATCAAAATGAACAATGAGAGTGACAAGCATCTTGCATTTGTTTGATTTCAGCTAGCAACGGAATTCATCTTGAACTCACATTCATAAAGTCGAATTTCTTAGTTATCATTAATATGAGTTGAGTTTCTAAATAAAAAAGATGAGCACTAAGATAATTTCGAGATGCTTATCAATGAAAGCATAAAACAAATTGTTCTGGTATATCGAACAATACAGCACAGAAAACTTTTCCAGATTGAAGTTCACGGGAAAACTACCACTTTTATGAATCTTGAAATCTTCAGGTTTTCTGCTTTCTCGTAACTTAACAACCAATTTTCATTGTAAGATCTCTACATTTACTATATGATGCATGTATCGATTCGAATAAAGTAGGAGTTGGCAGTAGTATTTCATCTTACTTCTAGCAGAACTAAATAATATCATTAGAGGCACATAATCACAGTGAGATTTGTAAAAATGAACATGGTATTACGCAAAGTATTCCTAACAATTTAAGAAGCTACAATAACAATCATATCCAACTATAAATACTCTAGAATAAACTCTTCGATCAATTTAACGTACACTGTGGATTGATTATGATCATCGATAAATTTAATGCAATCAGTACTAGTTGATAAGGAAAATTTTATACTGCTTCGAAAACTTTTAATACAACTGTTTCCTATGGTGTATACTCCACTATATTCTAATAATGTGTAGAAGTTTTTTGAAGTAATCTTCTAGTTCGGTTACTATGCAGAAAAGTTCAATCTCATACGATCATCTACTTGCATTTGATACAAGATAATGCAAAAACACTCAACCATTCTTTCTCTTATTTATGACAATAAATAAATCTTTCTCTATTGACCACACGTTTTCACATCATATGTAGATATTTGCGCTTTAGCTTTCACATTATCGGATGCAATTTCTTCAGTATCTCTTGTTCCTTCAATATCATTATTTTGGAGATGTTTAGTTCCATTCACAATTGCATCTTTATTTTTGTTTTGCATTAAACATATATTATCGATAAAAAACATACAACAGTAATTAATAAACAAAAAAGTTTTCCCTTAAAATCCTGCATAAGAACATGTAATTTTTGCACATGATATTAAACCTGAAATCAAAAGAAATAAGCTTTCGAAAGAAAAAAAAATATATACCCATGTTTTAACCAATTTTTACTCTTTATTTTAGAAAAAAAAATATAAATCACACATTTACACAGAAAACCAAGTCTAATTCAGCAAAATGCTGAATAATGCCTTGTCTTTATATATATGAGTATGAAATATATATCTTAGAAGTTAAATACGAGTTTAAAAGTAAAATATACACACATAAAATAGTTAAATGCTGCATCAAAAATAAAATAATACAAAAACTGGAATTATAAAAAACGCAAGAAAAAGTTAGTATGAATAACCTACAAAGCTTTAGTTGAAATTTTCTGAAAAAAAGCTTGATTATTTCGTTGCAACTAGTGTTAAGGGTAATTAAAGAAATACAAATGAGTAAATGCTGAGAAAGAAAATAATTGAGAGTTATAAATGTCATTTCATATGGACTAGATTCACTAGAGATCAATGGTTTCTTTAACTTTTTTCTTAGCTTTTCCAGTCGCTTTCTTTGCTGTATCGGAAATTTCATCCACTTTCGACGTAGCTTGATCAGTTGCATCAGTAGCAGTATTTGATGCAAATCCAACAGGTTCTAAAAATATATTTTACAAAACAAGAATGAAAGGTCTATTTTTTAAAGTTTTAATTTACCCAAAATTGAATTTTTGACGTTCGTAAGAATATTAAAAAATTTGTCAATAAGACCATCACTTTGTTTTTCTACTTGTTCTTTAGCATCTTCTACAGTTGTTTTGACTTTTTCACCGGCGTCACTTGCTTGACGTTTCAGTTTTTCACCTTTTTCTAGTTAATATAAGTATATTTGTTCTTCAAGAAAAACAACAATCTAAATATTTACTGGCCGCTTTTTCGGCGACGTTTTCAGCCGTTTTCATCGCTGATTTGGCACCATGGTTAGCTGTTTCTTTTCTAAAGAGAAAAAGAAACAAGATTGTTTCACTTTTCTTCCTGCTTAACTTACAAATCTTCGGCACTGGCACTACCTTTCTTTTTAAGGTCTCTACCTGCTTTTTTAGTTTCATCACGGTTTTTGCCTGCCGTTGCTTTGGCATTTTCGGCTAATTTTTGACCAGCTTTCCGTGTTCCAGCTAAATCAATAATAAAGTTAAAATATATTTGCTATTGTACTATAATCTAGCATGTTGAAATGAAAAGAAATTTAGAATAATATTCCCTAGATTGAAAGGCTAGGGTCTTGAAATCGTAATTCATCTGTTTCTGTCTGCAACAAGATCTGGCACAAATGACCATTTCCATGGCACAAATGCTCATTTTCATGGCACAAATTACTATTTTAATCGCCAAGAACTATTTATACTCGTAAAGCATGATGTTGTTTCAGATGCATGTATGGAACGACGGGTAGTTGGGGAGGAAAGCGAGTCGCTTCATTGAGTCAGAGTGCTCAATGTGAAGCGTATCCTTGTCTTCATTCGATCAGTCTAGAACACAGTGAATCGACCTTCGATGTCGATGAACGTTACTTGTTTGGTGTAACGTAAAATAAAATAAAAATACTACTTAAAAGTTGCTTTAATAATTTTAAAGTTTTATTCTTCAAAACGGATTTATGATTCTAGAAAGCAGAATTTTATTTTAGAGAATCTGTATTGATCATAGATGTTTATCATTTGATGATGATCATGAAATGCAGACTTTATGCATTTCCTTTTCTCATAAGTATATCGGAGACAGTATCCAAAGTGAACAACTTTGACTTGATTTATGTTGACGACTGTCTCACTTTCTTAGACAAAGTAATTGAAACAAGGTTTTTTTACGACAAAACAAATTTGATTAGTACGAAGAAAAAGTTTGTCTCATAAAGCTCAAAAATGAGGAAATTGTTTTTGATTTCATTATTTATTTTGCCAGGCGAGCGTCTGATCATATAATATATTTTTGCATGCATCCTGATTAGGGATGGCACTTCAACTCTTGTTTTTTTAAGTTTAAAGTGATTTACTTAAAACTTTTAAAGTAAGGTTAAATTCCACCCCTAATCCTGATAGATCTTTTTCTATCAAAGTCATCAACACGTATGACTAATACTAGAATTTAAAATGTTTCTCAAAATGTTTTTGTTTCGATGATTTAAGATTTAAGAAACCCACTCCTCTTTCCGACCTTTCTCGAGAACGGCTTTGCAAAATTTGGTTAGACGTTCAGATTAGATGGATCTCGATAAGTAGAATAAAAGCTGGCATAGAGTCAAAATTCTCAAATGCTTTCTTCTGATACATCTTGAAAGATCAGGTACCAAAAATGACGTGAAATTTTCCTCCCGCAAACATCCACACTATGTTTTTCAGGCGTGAAACTTTTTCTGTGACAACTAGGAACAAATGTGAGTGCGTATTGTTTTCTGAAAAATATTGTTCCTAAGACTGATGAGAAGCAAAACATTGGAGGCACTCAGAAAACCACTAAAACGAAGCTTTTCTTTCGGATGGTGCTGACTTTGTAAAATCTATCAAACTTGACAAGTGCAATATTTTCAAGAGAAGAAAAAACTCGCACCTCAATTTAATCGAAATGCTCATTAAAGAAGGTTTGAATCCAATCAGTCATACCGTCTAGAGAAAAGAAGGAAAAACTTCAATTTTCTGTTTAAAAATCTAACTATGAAAAAATTGCAAAGAAAGTTGCTTTTTCTCGCTTTTGTATCATAAAATTCAGTTTTGTTTCGAGTTTTTACATATAAAAAGGTGTTTTTGCCTTCTTTAAATGTACTCATTAGATAGAGACCATTTAAATCTATGCATGAAATATAAAAAAATGAAAAACGAAAAAACTGAAGATTTTTATCAAGTTCACTTTAGAGACTTGACTTGAAATAAGACAAATGTTTGTAAATCCAAATCTAGCGTAGATTGAGATGAACAAAAACAGTTGATCAAGTTTCTATATATTGTTATTCGTCTATTCTAAAGATCTCGATATAATTTAATTCATCCATATAAACTAGAAAGATTCCTAACAGAGAATTTAGCAGGACGATTTTCTTCGTTCTGTTCTGTAGAATACAGGGCATTATCAATCACTCATCTTGTCTTGCAGAACGCAAAGTAGGATACATTTTGCAGGCAAAAGACTCTTCAACATTCGGTAGTCTCTGCAAGACGATCTTTTCATTGTACTCTTGACGAGGATAAAGAATTATTTGTGTATGAGGTACAAGGTCAAAAATTATTTACAATATAATGATGCTAATAAATCTTATTACATATTTTCCAAGCGAAATGCAATGAACAATAAAAAAAAAGACTTGACATCCGTAAAGTGAACAAAATAATAAGAAAACAAGTCTAAAGATACAGGTTCCAAAATGTAATTGATATTAAAAAAAAAGCAGACAACTAGAAAAATACATAATTCTTTTTACTCGTTTTTCTTGAATGTCTTCTATGAACAGATAAATAACATGTTATCAATTTGACTTGGTGATAAAGATGTTCGTCTTTGAATAAAAGTTAATCTAGCTGAGCTAAATAATCTTGCAACCGAAACATTAGTCATTGCTACGGCATCTGCTCTTCTAACTATAACTGATAATAATGAAAAATCATGATTAGTTTCACTACTAGACTAGAACTGCATTGGATCACGATCAATTTGGTGCTTTGGGTGTTCTGAAGGACTGAAATATCATTTTGTAGGTCCTGTATCCTGGAAAAGAAGTGTGATGTTCCTGGAAGTGCAAGACAAAATAGCTTATCTGTAGAGCAGGTCTTGCAGAATATCCATTCTATGACGTTCTCTGATTTCTAATACTTTACAATGCCTTTTAACATACGCGTCTTTAATCAAAATACTTTTATTTTAAATCATTCTAATAAGTTATCATGACCACTATTAAGTTAATCGAAAAAACATCAAATCTTTCAGAGATATGTAGATGTCTTATCATTTTTCCTGTATTTTAAACTTCAATTTATTTCTGAAGAAATTCAATGGATTCATACATATTCCTGAATGATCTTTTGCGATGTGTTCGATATTTTTTTGAAGCAATTATCGGATAATCTCTATTGATTAGATTGCTCAACTTATAAATTTTATCTGTTAAAGTAAACTATGGCTTACAAGCTTTGTCTTTTGCCGTGTCAATATTATCCTTGATGGCGTCAGCAGCTGAATGTGTAGCACCTTTAGCATGATTAACACGTTCATTAATAACATTGACAGTATGTTGCTATTTAAAAAAAGAAATTATCATAATTAATCTTATGAGAATAATTATTTGACATACTTTGACTTTTCCTCCTTGACTTAGTGTATCTGTTATTTTATCTTTAAGATCATTTTTAACATTACCATTAACAATGGTAATGTATAGCACAGCAATTATAAACAATTTGAACATAAATAAGACTAGTCAATATTTAATATATTTAATAAACGACTAATCTACAACAAGAATGAAAATTTCGACTCAATTATATAGTTTCGTCTGTTTTTTCGCAATAATAAGAACGGAACAATTCAAATGTAAATAAATTTAAATTATTCTCTTTCGTTTGTTTCGATATATCGGTAATCTGGAAACCACAAAAATACCATGAATGTATGTCGCCACATGCTCAAGTAATAAAAACGTTGATACTACCGATCACTAGTAATATAAGTTAACATGGCAATTTTTCTAGTTAATTTAGGTAATAATTTTTATTGATGAATAAGTTTTTAATAATAATAATAAATTTTCAATTCGAAATCTAAATTCGTCTTATTAAAAAATATTTAATTTCATTCCATGAGAAAAATTCTTTCTCATCTCTCATTATTTTAGTAGTTGGAGGCGAAAAAGAAATGGGAATGACTCATCCAATGCAACTATCTATGTTATATCAAGCAGCCGTCCACATTCTTATTTCAAAGATAAGATTATATTCTAACTAAGACCACAAAAATCTTCATTTCTATCTTTTCTTTTTTTATGATAAAAACAAAACATTAAGTTTTCATTTTACGTTTTTTATCTTCAAGATCGTAAACATGGCAGGACAATTGCCTATTAAATTTCAAGAACATCTTCAAGTAAACTTTTTCTAGTATTTATTTATAATTAAATTGAATATGTCTTTATATTAGTTACAAAGTGTTGGTATCAATGTTACAAACATCGGTTTTAGTTCTCTTACGATGGAGTCCGATAAATTTATATGTGTACGTGAAAAAGTTAATGATACAGCTTATGTTATTATTATTGATATGGCTGATCCAACTAATCCAATTAAAAGACCAATTACTGCGGACTCAGCAATTATGAATCCAACAAGTAAAGTTATTGCATTAAAAGGTAATGGAAATAATTTATTGAAAAAAAAAAACAACGAATCTATTTGTTTTGTTTTTTATTAGCTGGAAAAACGTTACAAATTTTTAATATTGAATTTCGTAGTCGAATTAAAACATATGATGTGACAGAAGATTGTATTTTTTGGAAATGGGTTAGTGTCAATGCAATTGGTATTGTCACTGAAACATCTGTTTATCATTGGTCTATGGAAGGTGATAGTCAACCAGTTAAAATGTTCGATCGTCATCAAAGTTTAGTTGGATGTCAAATAATTAATTATCGTACTGATGAATCATTACAATGGCTTCTTGTTAACGGTAAAGAATTATCATATATATGTGTGTATATATTTGTTATAATTAACGGTTTTAAATTTTTAGGTATTCAAGCTCAGGAAGGTCGTGTTGTTGGTCGTATGCAACTTTATTCAGTTGAACGTAAAGTTTCACAACCAATTGAAGGACATGCTGCTGCATTTACACAATTTAAACTTGAAGCAAATAAAAAATCATCAACACTTTTTTCATTTGCTGTTCGGGGTCCACAAGGAGGAAAAGTAAATAGAAATATTCTTTTTATCTTTTTTTTTTTTATCTTTTTCCATTCTTAGCTTCATATTATCGAAGTTGGAACACCAGCACCAGATAATCAAGCATTTCAAAAGAAAGCAATTGATGTTCAATTTCCAGCTGAGGCACCAAATGATTTTCCAGTTGCTATGCAAACATCAGCTAAACATGGTGTCATTTATTTAGTTACAAAATATGGTTATGTACACATATTTGATATTGAAAGTGGAACACTTATTTATATGAATCGTATTAGTGCTGATACAATGTTTGTTACAGCACCATATGAACCAACATCAGGCATTATTGCTGTTAACCGTAAAGGACAAGTAAAGAAAAGCATATATTTATTTGATTATATTTCTATTTTTCTTTTTTTTTTTAAGGTTCTATCAGTCAGTATTGATGAAGATAATGTTGTTTTATATGTTCAAAATACATTAGGCAATGCTGAACTTGCTTATAAAATGTCAGCACGATGTAATTTACCGGGTGCTGATCAATTATTTGTCGCACGATTTGCACAATTATTTCAAAGTGGAAATTATAGTGAAGCAGCTAAAGTTGCTGCTACAGCTCCACGGGTAAATGTTTTTTTTTTGCATTTATAGAGAGAAGAGTAGCCGGATATCTTCCGTACAATTGTGACTAGCTGTAACTTAAAACGGAATGTCCGTCTGATGCAGAGTTCTTGCGCTCAATTACTTGAGCTCCTTATACACACTAACTAATGTCAACAGTAATTGTATGTCCCAACGTAGTTAGCATATTCTTGGAAGGGTGATGCGAGACAAATAGCCATTAGTGGCTTCTGATAGTGATGTTTAGATACAGTAACTTGTAGATAGGATATCGAATAATGTCGTCACTCAGCCATGGCAGCTAGGACAAGTACGATAATATACGCTTATCAAGTATGTTATCTAGCCTTCGTTTAAACGAATCAAATAAATTTTTTAGTCTATTGATTGTTGAAAGACAAATAAGCTTTATTATGATCATATATAATATACCTATGTATGAGATCAACACTTTTGATGTAATTATTCTAACATGGTACAATACTGTCAGCCAAATGTGTGAGAGATTAGAAAACATAACACAATAGACTAATTATTATTATAAATTTAAAGATCTACCTAAAGTTTTTTTTATGTAATGAAAAGTTTCTCATTACATGTGCTTGATCTTCATGAATGATTAATAATTCATTTCTCATGATATTCAGACATGATTAGATGTGTGACAGTTTCCGACCGAGGAACTAATAACCATTTCTTTTCGAACGTGTTGAACTGTCCAAACACGTCAATTCTAGACGTGTGACAGCTTCCACTTCTGTGAACTTGTTCTATTTTGAGAATTGGATATAGTTATCAGTTCTATTTTTGTCTAATCACTGAGACAGTTACTGAATAGAATTGCTACATTGGCATTATCAATAGGCATAGTTCATATGAAAAGAACTGTGAGCTGTAGCAGATAAAGTCATTGTGTATATACCTAAATTTTTAGATTTAAGGTTAATGTAATGATGAATATGCTATTTTAAGGGAATACTTCGTACCCAACAAACAATTCAACAATTTCAAACAGTACCACCACAAGCAAATCAACCATCACCATTACTTCAATATTTTAGTATTTTATTAGAATCAAGTAAATTAAATAAAGAAGAATCAATTGAATTATGCAGACCAGTTGTAATGCAAGGAAAAAAACAATTATTAGAAAAATGGTTAAAAGAAGATAAAGTAAATAAATAAAATTAATTCTTGAGAAAAAAAATGTTTTATTTTTGTTTCTAGCTTGACTGTAGTGAACAATTAGGTGATATTGTTAAATCACGTGATTCCACATTAGCATTATCAGTTTATTTACGTGCTAATATACCAATGAAAGTTATTCAATGTTTTGCTGAAACAGGTCAATATCAAAAAATAGTTCTCTATGCTAAAAAAGTTAATTATCAACCGGATTATATTTATCTTTTACGAAGTATAATGAGAATTAATCCTGAACAAGGTACTCAATTTGCACAAGTAAGACAAAACAAAAGCATTTTATTTAAAATTAAAAAAAAATTATTCATTGTATTTCTATAATAGTTACTTGTTCAAGATAGTGAACCATTAGCTGATTTAACACAAGTTGTTGATGTTTTTCTTGAACAAAATCTTGTTCAACAATGTACAGCATTTTTACTTGATGCTTTAAAAAATAATCGAGAAGACCAAGGACATTTACAAACACGTTTATTAGAAATGAATTTAATGCAAGCACCACAAGTAAAAATTCGTTAATTCGTTTTTCTTTTATTTTCGAAAATCAAATTTTGTTTATCTTCTAATAAAAAGGTTGCTGATGCTATTTTGGGTAATAATATGTTTACACATTATGATCGACCACATATTGCACAATTATGTGAAAAAGCTGGTTTACTTCAACGTGCACTTGAACATTATACAGATTTATATGATATTAAACGAGCTGTCGTACATACACATTTACTTAATCCAGAAGTAAGTTTTGATTTAAAATTTTTCTTTCAAATGTAAAAAGAAAAACTTTTTCTTTATTTGAAGTGGCTTGTTAATTATTTTGGTCGATTATCAGTTGATGATTGTCTTGAATGTTTAAAAGCAATGCTTCAAGCAAATATTCGTCAAAATTTACAAGTTGTTGTACAAATTGCAACTACATATCATGCACAACTTGGAACACAAAAACTTATTGAATTATTTGAATCATTCAAAAGTTATGAAGGTAAAACAGATCGATTAAAACAGTAGACATACACCTATGAAGTCTACAAATCATAAAAAGCTGTTGCTTATCATTACCAGAAAATGATGAGACACATTAGATATAGATTCATATAGAGAACCAATGAAAGCGTAGAAGTGAGCAATATCGATCGGTTTGATGTAAAAAAAAACTCGAAGAAAAAACAAATTTCGAAAGAGTTAACAGCGTATGATATCAGTGTAATAATCGAATAATATGTGCTTGTATTTAATATTTTATTTTAAAAACCCATGACAATGAAGTAATGAAATAGAAGAATCGCGAAAAGGTTAACAAAAAGAGATTATTTGTTTGTTCTAACTAACATAGAAAGTCCTTCTAGAAGATGATCAAAACTTATTTCATTTTGTTTAAATAGCAATCAAAGTGAATAAATGTGTTGTCAAAGCGCAACAGTTTTTGTTCTTCTTTTCTCCCATCGTCATCTTCAGCATTTGCTGACGAACAACAATAGCTACTCTCATGAGACAATCAAATAAATGATTTACATAAAGCTACCTAATTGATTATAAAATGTGAGGACATACTCCAAAATTTGATTTTCTAAACTTTAACTGGTTGAAATCCTATTCTATTCCAGATGTTTTCAATAATTGGATCAATTATGCTGGGTTTTAGTCTCCATTCTTTTCGTGTTAATTCGAGCGTTATGACCTGTAAGAATACATATTGACTTGAAGGATTTCGTGATGAGAAATCTTTTTTTTCCGACAGGATATGTGGGAATTAATCTTTGTCTTCAGAGGTTTGAATGCATGCAAATGGTACAGTTTTTACAACGCAACACTGATTTTTTTATCTTTATGATAGTCATTCTTCGAAAATAATAAACTGTTTACTTATTTTTATACGTATAATTTCGTAGTTTTGCGTGTGTTATCGAGATTTCTAGTCTACAACAGTAAAATTCTGTTGAATATTGAAAGAAAAGCATTTCGAAATTGATTTTTAATATTGAATATTTCCAAAGTCCAAAATGTAAATCAACTATTAAATGCTAATAATAAAACTTTTCATGGACATATTTCTCATATTAGGCTGAAAAATATAATAGCTAACATTAAGTGTACTTCAGATGTATATTTATAATCGAATCATTTTAGTTGCATCGATAAAACTATCTTTGAACAAGTTCGAACCTGCCTGGCATCGCTCGTGTCATATCCTTGTTGTGACACGACGAACGTCCAGGCGATAGAAAGTGGATTATAAAAACAGCTCATTAAATTTCAAAAATAGTTTAATGATCCTGAGGATTCAAACAAATTTTAATTGTTTTCTGTTGTTTTCTTTTTTAGGTCTTTTTTATTTTCTTGGCTCAATTGTTAATTTCAGTCAAGAGCCAGATGTTCATTTTAAATATATACAAGCAGCATGTAAAACAGGTCAGATAAAAGAAGTTGAACGTATTTGTCGAGAATCGAATTGTTATGATCCTGAACGTGTTAAAAATTTCTTAAAAGAAGCTAAATTAACTGATCAATTACCATTAATTATTGTATGCGATCGATTTAATTTTGTTCATGATCTTGTTCTTTATTTATATCGAAATAATTTAATGAAAAATATTGAAATTTACGTTCAACGAGTATGATCAAGACTTTTTTCTTTGTTTCTGTTCTAACTCAAATAATATTTATTGATTATTTCATAGGTTAATTCAGGTCGTTTACCAGTTGTTGTTGGTGGTTTACTTGATGTTGATTGCAGTGAAGATAATATAAAACAGTTAATTCTTTCTGTACGCGGTAATTTTAATGTTGATGAACTTGTTGAAGAAGTTGAAAAACGAAATCGGTTTGTAGAAATTCTTTTGTGAATATATGTATGTTTATAAACTTTTTAATTGATAAATTATTTAGAACAAAATTACTTTTACCATGGCTTGAAACACGTGTTCATGATGGTAGTACAGATTCAGGTGTTCATAATGCATTAGCTAAAATTTATATTGATTCAAATAGCAATCCAGAAAAATTTCTTCGAGAAAATCCTTATTATGATAATCGAGTTGTTGGAAAATATTGTGAAAAACGAGATCCACATTTAGCTTGTGTTGCTTATGAACGTGGAGGTTGTGATATGGAACTTGTCACTGTAAGTTAATAAACAATTAAAGAAAGACAACAACAAGAGTAAATCTTGGAATGATGACATTGATTTCAAAAATCATGAAAGTCAAAAAATGATTTAAACTTTTTTTTGTATTCGTACTGTCTGACCAAGATTATTTATATAGGATAGTTTATATCTATCTTAGAACAACACAACATTGTCATTAGTAGAGATGTACGAGTCTTGGCCTACTAGAAAAAAGTTGTGCCAACCCAAACTAGAGTAGTTTAATTATTCTATGTTTTTAAGTGGAGTATTTTACAAAGCATCAAAAAAATAGTTTTATAGTTGATACAAATAAGTTCTCGAAGAATTTTCTCTAGACCAGAGTCAGTAGAAAAAATTTAGCGGAACCAAAAATACAAACTTGATCCTACACATCTTTAATCATGATTAAAGATGTGTAGGATATGCCAATATATTTCCCTTTCTAAACAAACAATACATTTTTTCAACATTTACAGAAGTTTCAAATAAATTTAGCTACGCTTGCTGTAGCTAGATAATAGTTGTCGGTCATTTCAGACCACACCGGATTTACCTCCATATACAGCTTTAATTTTAGATGCAGTTTGTAGTCCACTTCGGGTCTGAATAGAGAAGATCTATCGTCAATTTACTGGGTAGTCTGAATTTTGCGAATGAGACTTTCCCCTGCAACTCAACTTTCGATTGACTACTTTCTAAGAAGAGTCAATGACTAGCTGAAATCTTGATTCTTCATTTAGTTGTGAACACAGAGGATATTAGACATTGGTTGGAAAAACTCAAGCATAGCCGCAAGCGGATTCACAAAAACAAATTGAACTCATAGCTTTCTAGTTGTGCCAAATGATTTACATTCCTGGGAAGTAAACATTACTAGTCTTGATTCCTGCCATCAGGAATAAAATATTACTAGGATTAACGGAATCTGCTTTCACACATGTCGAATCAATTGACTCTTTTGTATTTCTTTATGTTTAAATATAATATTTGACATAAAAATCGAAATTTATTTCTGAATAATGAAAGTTAGTATCACTTTCATTTCGTTGTTGTTTCAAATGGTAGTACCTACAGAATACAACAAATATTATTTACGTTCAGTTATCAATAAGATTTAATTCTTAGAATTTCTTTATGATTTTTTCCGCCGTAATATTACAGTTTGAACTACCAATAGATATCGAATATATTTCAAAATTTTCAATCTAGAAGAACATTCATTCGTACTGAGAGAATGTTCTTAACTACAAAATAGAAAAGTCATACAAATATAAATAGAATCTATATTGAGTCGATGTAAACTGATCCAATTGAAGATATAGATTTTGATCTGATCTATTTTATACTTCTCTTTGTATTTTAAAATTGATAAAATAAAAAACCTAATAAAATTCTAGGTTTGTAATGAAAACTCGCTATTTAAAAGTCTAGCACGTTATTTGGTTCGTCGTAAAGATCCAACATTATGGGAACATGTTTTACGTGAAGATAATCAATATCGTCGACCATTAATTGATCAAGTTATTCAAACAGCTTTAGCTGAAACTCAAGATCCAGAAGAAATATCTATTACAGTTAAAGCATTTATGGCTGCTGACTTGCCAAATAATTTAATTGAATTATTAGAAAAAATTGTTATTGATAATTCAGTATTTAGTGAACATCGGTAAGACAAAAAAAATTCTTATTTTTATTGTTTAATTAAATTTTGTTTTGTTTAGTAATTTACAAAACTTACTTATTTTAACTGCAATTAAGGCTGATCGTACACGTGTTATGGATTATATAAATCGTTTAGAAAATTATGACGCACCCGATATAGCTAATATTGCAATTAGTAATCAATTATTTGAAGAAGCTTTTTCAATTTATAAAAAATTCCAAGTTAATACATCAGCTATTCAAGTCCTTATTGATCATATTAAAAATTTGGATCGAGCTTATGAATTTGCTGAACGTTGTAATGAGCCTGGCGTATGGAGTTTATTAGCTAATGCACAAATACGTCAAGGTTTGGTTAAAGAATCTATTGATTCATTTATTAAAGCTGATGATCCAACATCATATCTTGAAGTTGTTAATGTTGCAACACAAAATCGTATGTTTTGAGATTTTGTAACGATAAAAAGTTTTGATTTTGATTTTTTGACTTTCTATAGAAAGCTGGGAAGATTTAGTTCGCTATTTACAAATGGCTCGTAAGAAAGCAAGAGAAACATTTGTTGAAACTGAATTAGCATTTGCTTATGCAAAAACAAATCGTCTTGCCGAACTTGAAGAATTTATTTCAGCACCAAATCATGCTCAAATTCAAGCAGTAAGAAAATGAATTTGTTGACTTTTTTTCGTCTTTTTGAAAAATAGATTACGACGATAAAATTATAAATATTTAAGAAGAGGTTTAAATTATAAAACTTTTCTTCAGGAGTTATTTATGCATTGTTTCGAAGAAAACAATTTTATTGTCAAATTATACTTTTACATTGACCTAATTGTTTTTCGGATAATCTGACGACTTCACGCATTATAAAATTATCTTGTTCTACACTTAGGATTATTCAAGCATAGGTATTCAACATCTTGAAAAAGAAGTATTTAGTCTAATTGAAATTTTCGATAAGTTTCAAGTTAAATCATTTCATTAAAAATACTGAACAATATATTAATTGATCATAAATTGAAAAAAAGACAATTAAAAGATAAATTCAATAGAAATACGATACTTTCTGAGTAGTAAACTGTACAAAACTATCTATAAAAACCAAATAAAAATTCTCTTCTATTATGAGAAAAAAAATTCATATAAAAGAAATCAAATTATTCCTTAAATGAAAAATTTCAATACATAATTTAGGTTGGTGATCGATGTTTCGAACAAGAAATGTACGAAGCTGCTAAAATTCTTTATAACAATATATCAAATTATGCCAAATTAGCTGTTACCTTATGTCATTTGGGTGATTATCAAGGTGCAGTTGATAGTGCACGCAAAGCTAATTCTACAAAAACATGGAAAGAAGTATGCATTTTTTTAAAAACATATTTAATCGACAAAAAATGTATATGTTTTTTAATTTTAATTTTTCTCATCTAAAATTAGATTTGCTTTGCTTGTATTGACAAACAAGAATTTCGTTTAGCACAAATGTGTGGTATACAAATTGTTGTACAAGCTGAAGAACTTGAAGAATTAATAAATTATTATCAAAATCGTGGTTATTTTGAAGAATTAATTCAATTACTTGAAGCAGCACTTGGCCATGAACGTGCACATATTGGCATGTTTACTGAATTAGCTATACTCTACTCGAAATATAAACCACAAAAAATGCGTGAACATTTAGAATTATTTTGGTCACGTGTTCGAAAACCAAAAGTAAAAACAAATATAGTTTCTTTTTTTTTTCAATATTGAATTTTTTATTTATTCTTTTGTTTTTTAAAGGTTTTACGTGCATGTGAACAAGCACATCTTTGGTCTGAACTTGTATTTCTCTATGATAAATATGAAGAATTTGATAATGCTATATTAACCATGATGTCACATCCATCAGAAGCATGGCGTGAAAATCATTTTAAAGATATTATTAGTAAAGTAGCTAATATTGAATTATATCATAAAGCAATTGATTTTTATTTGGAATTTAAACCAATGTTATTGAATGATTTACTTTTAATTTTATCACCACGTCTAGATCATACACGTGCAGTCAGTTATTTTATCAAAGGTTAGTTGAATGGTCTAAAATGATAGAATATTTGTGTTCGAATCTGCACTTTGGTATCTCTGATTTTTACTTAATTATGTAAAATTCAGTCGTTTATAATAAGTGCTAAAGAAAACAATATTCTGTCCTTTGCAACGTTCGATTATTTAATTTTCTAAATAATCATGGATTGTGACAGATATAACCATAAATCTTTTCTTTTTTTACATTTTAGTTAAACAACTTCCATTAGTTAAACCATATTTACGTTCCGTTCAAAATATAAATAATAAAGCTATTAATGAAGCACTTAATAATTTATTAATTGAAGAAGAAGATTACCAAGGTTTAAGAAATTCAATTGATGCCTATGACAATTTTGATAATATGACATTAGCACAACGTCTTGAAAAACATGAATTAATTGAATTTCGACGAATTGCTGCTTATCTTTATAGAGGAAATAATCGATGGAAACAAGCTGTAGAATTATGTAAAAAAGATCGATTATATAAGGTAGAGTACTTACAAACATATGAAATTATATTTATTTTTGTCGAAATGAATATTCTTGCAACTTGGAGTTTGAGTCACAATATATAAAAATTCGTATACTTTAATATATTTAGAATATCTACAGTCTATCTACAGGTAATGCGCTCATCCATTTGCCATCTGTGCACTGTCATAACTTAGTAACTTACTGTAACAAAGAGCTGAAACTTATACTACAGCACGATATATAAAAGTTCTAGGTTAACTATGACGATTTTACGAAATTGAAAAGTCGTGGTAACGCACTTATCTAGAAGGACACCTTTAGCAATGTGTGGAACCAATTTTAGTTTTGGTTAGAGTAACTATGGGAAAGAGAAGCTTCTGAGACCAGCGGTATGAGAAACAAGTTATTCTAACCAGAACTAAAGATTATAGTTAATTATTCCGTGGTTTTAAGCGAATTGTTTTACACATCATATCAATCAGAATATAATTTAAGAGAAATAACCCAAAGAAAGTGCTAATCGTCGACTAAATAATTAGAAAAACGAGAATTGAAGAATTGTTTAGGTTTACCGAGACTGCTACAAAGAAGCTACCGAGCCCAATATAAAAAACAATTCGGTTCCACATATCTATTGACTTCTTTTGTTAGTCCTCTTTGACAAAAAGTTTACATTGCTGACAATCTACTTACTCTGAACAAAATAGTTTCATATATGTTTGTATCTAAGACAACGACCCTCACGGTAGTGAAATTTGTTTGGAGGAAACCAGCCGAGTCGATACCTTGAATTTGAGATAAGACTTCAATCATAGCGTAAGGCTTACCGAGGCTAGAAGAAACCTAGAGAGATTCTTTCCCATGCGCTGCCTTTTTGGAATCATGATTGTTACACACTGGATTTTTTACCTCTGGTATAATATTGATAGAAAATCTAGATAAACGTATTTTGATCATAGATAGCTGTTGAAATCATTGGAATCTCCTAAAAATTTCAGTTAAAAGGACTTATCTCGACAAAAGACTACTCTTTTTTACTAAGATTTCTAGGAAATACTAATGACTTCAAAAGCTGTTTACGGGCAAAGTTCGTTTCGAGATGACATTCTATGGAGAATCAAGCGTGTTTTTTTCGAGACTCTTTAGATTTGAAAAAGAGTTCTGCAATAACTCATCTCGTCTTGTAACACACCTTTTTATTTTTACTTTTTTTTTCGGTTAACCTTCTATGCAAACGATGAAGTAGCAATCGAACATACATATTCGATTGAAAATTCAAAGAGAGAAATAAAAAAGAGCAATTAGTGAATCGAATAGAACATATTGTGATTATGAAAATAAAGTCTTCATCAATGAAAAACTTCTTAGCGGAAACTTTTCAAGTCGATCGATGTAAATTGAATTAGTCTTTTTTCTTTGGTAAAATAAATTTAATGTAAGGACTTCTAAATTGTGAATTTTATACTCTATATTTCCTATAGATAGACAATATCCTTGAGATTTTCATTCTGGTCATAGTTGACTGTGTCTTTTTTTGCCTGTGAATAAAATAAAAATTATGATAACTTGCACGACACATACCAAAGAATGAAAGTCATAACTGAACAACATTTGCTAACAAATCTCATTAACACATGTCATGCCTCTAATTGACATTATAACTTCAATATCGCTCGTTTCTCGTAGTGAACTTCAGAAAAATCTTCGTCGCGTATTCGATTATTCATTGTCGAAAAATATAATATAATGATATTGTCTTTTAAAAATTTCATTCATAAAATTTTCTAGTTCAATCAATAATCATATTATTCTTATATGAAAATAAACAATATCTTTTAGGATTCAATGACTTATGCATCCGATTCACGACAAATTGAGATAGCTGAAGAATTAATATCTTGGTTCCTTGATGAAAAATTATTTGAATGTTTTGGTGCATGTTTATTTCAATGTTACGATCTCTTACGTCCTGATGTTATCCTTGAACTTGCATGGCGTCATGATATTATGAGCTTTGCAATGCCTTATATGATTCAAATTATGCGCGAATATGTTACAAAAGTAACATTGAAAATTAATTTCTGAAATTTTTTTATTATAAAATTTTGTTTAATCAGGTTGATAAACTTGAACAATCAGATCAACTTCGTACAGAAAATGAAACAGCTAATGAACAAAAACCAATTGATTTTAATTGTACGTAGAAAAAGAAAAAGAATAAATAATTAAAATAAAAATTCTTCTTTTGTTTTTTTCTTTAGCACAAGGTCCATTAATGATTACAGGACCTGGTATAAGTGCTTTTCCACAACCAGGTTTTGGTGCTGCCGCTTATCCACAATATAGTGGTGCACCAGGTTATTCAGGATATTAAAAGAAAAACAAAATAAATCAAAAAAAAAAAATTTTACGACGAACAAATAAAATTATCTAATTGTTATTGTCATCATCTGTAAATGTTTATTCGTTTGTCAATGTGTTCTTTCTTTTTCTTTTCTCAATATTTATTACAATGATATAGTCGCATTCCTTTTTATTTATATTGATGTTGTCGCACATACTATTCATTCAATTTATCGTTTTAGGCAAAAAAACAAAAGAAACGAACCAAATACACCTTTAGGAGAACCATTTATTTATATAACCCGTGATTTTTCCGTGGTCTCAAAATAAAATTGGTTTATCATTTTACAAGCATTCATTTTATTTTGATTTTTTTGTATGTTGTTAGTGTTGAAAAAAAAAAACATTTAATAATAGGCTGAAGAAAACAAACCCATTTTGTTGTCAAGATTTTTTTTTTTTCGTTAGTGATTTTTGTGATCGTATGTGTATCCTCCTTTCTATTCTCTTTTTCTCTGCATCAGTTAATCGCAATACGTACATATATTTCTTTTCTTTTCATCTCTATCTTGCATTTCTTATCATCATTTAAACATAATAAATTTGTGCAACTTTCTTTCTTTAAAAAATAATAATATCTAAATTTTAGTTTTTGTGAGAGTAAATCTGTTGGAATATTATATGAAAGAAAAGAGGTATCTAATGAAAACAACGTTTTTCTTGATATGTTATTCTCTATACAGTTGAACAATATCAGTAAAAACATATTTTCAAACATTTCTTCACACTTTTTATTACATAATCACAAGCGAACGACCATGATACAACTTATTGTATGTTATTATTTTATATTTATTTTAGAAAATAATTCCCTCGGTCTCTATTCTAAAAATGACTCATAATTAAAATCTTCATCATTTATATCATGGCCTTTCAACAAGATTATTTTGCTATTCCACCTATAACACGAGCATATACAACAACATGTCTTCTCACAACAATTGCAGTAGTAAGTGAATGGTTTTTTTTTCTTACATAATACTCATATTATCATTTTGTTGTTTGTTAATTGCACGATTTACTCGTTAATTTTCCGATTACTAACATACATATAAACAGATGCATTGAAAGGATACTATTTCTTTTTACAGAATTTTCGTTTAGTAAAAAATGTTCATAACTATTTTTTGTAGCATCTACCTACGAATCGACCGTTGGATAATACAAATGAAACTTAATTGCAGCTCATCAATGATATGAGATTGATTTTAGAGTCAACATTGCATTTTTACTTTGATTGCTTGCAACTTTTAAAAAATCAATAGCCACATGTGAGCACTGACGTGTGCATCTCTTCCATCCTCAAGATTTAGGCTTGGCTCTTCTATTTAATATAATGGCTGTTTTACTATTCTTTTTCTCAACGAGAATATTTTTACGTATCGCCATTCTCTGTTCATCAAGAAAAATTATATTGAAAAAATAAGCACGTTAAATTTAGTCAAAGGTGACGGAACAAAGTCAATTTAGGGAAGACTCGAATAAAAAATTTCAAATGTTGACAAGAAGTCGGAAAAGAGGGTGATGATCCCGTTTTGAAATAATTTTTTTCGACTTATGCAAGCAAAAACGAACAAAATATGAGTTTACACTACCTTCTATTAGTCCAGAAAGCGTATTTTGTCTATAATTGTCCCCTTCTCTGCCAAAAGCCTAGATCCGTTACTAAACTTGAAGTATTGTTAACACTTTTTTTTCTATTCATGATAAATAGAACATTTAAATTAGAGTATCGACCAGAATAAACCAAAATGTCTATCAAAATTTGGTCGCTTTTTAGTAAACAATACGACTACTTCAGTCGTAAAAGAAGCTTAGAGCTGCTCGACAAAATTCTCGTCTGTTGTGCAACAAGTAGAATGCGATTCAATAGCAACATATGTAGGAAAAGATTGTAAGCAAGATTTCTTAACCGATTTAGAGCTGCAATATTGCCAAACTGCCTAATACTTTGTAAGGCACTAGTCGAAAAAAAATGAATTAATGAATATTATCCGTACATTCCATCTTTGTGCTGCTCTTCAACATAAGCTTAGACTTGCTTCATAATTTTAAATAGCAATTCTCACCGAAGGCTTCAAATTTTTACTTTTTTCGTGATAAAAGATGATTTATTCAATCTTTTGTTATACTGTCGGAGAATGTCTTTCAAAAAATATAGACTCATTTCAGCCTGCCCAAGTCTAAAAACTCTGCCACCTCTATGGGCCAAAATGTTTCAAAATATTTGAGGAAAAAACAGTAGACTTCAAGACTTCAAATGGCTGCATGAGACTTCACGATGCTTTAAAAGATTTCACAGGATTTTAGGAGACTTCAACATATATTAAAAGCTGTTAGTACGATCCCTGTGAAATTAATATGTGAAACACGAGGTAGATGTTGTTGCTAATCACAGGAAGATCGTTTTATTCGATCTATTCTGAAAGACATATCTTCACTATTCTTTTATTTAATCCTCTAGAGATGCAATAAGGAAGTAGTTCATATATTGTAACGGGCCGTTATTGATATATGGTCTATGATGAGATGTTCTTCACATGTCTAACTTAAAGACTTTGTAAGACTTGATGGGATTAAGAATGACTTTTAGGACCTCCAGCTAGAAGTCTCTGTTGTTTCTCCCTCGAAAAAAATACAGTTGTGAGAATGCACTATGTAACATCTGACTGAGCGCAGCGTCTAGCAAAATTCGAAACAACTCTTGTTCAAAAAGTTTTCCCTTACTAAATATAACTTCAAGATGAGATCAGTAAAATATTTTTAAACATTTGAGCTTCGCTAAGCCTAAGAGCTCCACCACCGATGAATGTAAAAAATTTGTTTTTCGTATAATATGTTTAGTGTTCAATAAAATCTATATTGATATATATCTTTATTTAATTTTCTAGCAACTTGAATTTGTTACTGCTTATCAACTTTATTTTAATCCTGAACTGATCTTTAAAAAATTTCAAGTAAATAAAAGCAATCAATTCATTTATATAAATAAGATAATTCTTTTTCTTCTAACAGTTATGGAGATTGATAACTTGTTTTTGTTTTTATGGTGGTATTGGTTTCAATTTTTTCTTTAATTTACTCTTTACTTATCGTTATTGTCGTCATCTTGAAGAAGGTTCATTCCGTGGACGTGCTGCTGATTTTCTTTATATGTTTATATTTGGTGGTACATTAATGATAATAATGGCATTATTTGTTAATATTGTTTTTCTTGGTTCAGCATTAACAATTATGTTAGTTTATGTTTGGAGTCGACGAAATCCATATGTTAGAATGAATTTCTTCGGTTTATTAAATTTTCAAGCCCCTTATCTACCATGGGTATTATTTGCTTTTTCACTTTTACTTGGAAATTCAGTTATTGTTGATTTAATGGGAATTGTCGTTGGTCATATTTATTATTTTCTTGAAGATATATTTCCACGTGAACAAGGCGGTTTTAAAATATTAAAAACACCAAGATTTTTGTATGTTATTCTTCTGCTTTTTTCACAATGAAATTATAATTTTTTTTTTATTTAATAGACATTGGTTATTTGATGAAACTAGACGTCATCGTGATGAAAATGATACACGTCCAAATGTTGGCAATGAGGTACCATTTGGTGCTGGTGGTTTTCATTGGCAGTGATCATGTTCTTGTTGAATTTTTATTTCTTGTACATCCTTATTGACAGAAAAAAAAAGAAACAAATATATCTAAATATATATTGATATTTATATGCAAATCTAATCGGGAATTTTTAAGAAAAATATATATCTAAATATTGTTTTAAATTTCCATTTCTTTCTTTTGTCATACACTTGCAAATAACAAATTCGAAAGTGAATATATGACGATAATTTGATAGTGAACAAACAATTGTTATCAACATTGTCAAGAGACAATAATTGTTATAATATCGATTGATATGAGCACTGAGATTCATCAAATATAAACAGAAATTACCAATTACTATGATGCACAAATTTTATTAATATATTATCGATATTTTCTACTAGTATTAACAGATGAATATTGATGAACAATTTTATTGCAGAAAATAACAACAGGTGGATTGAGGGTTGTACCCCCTTCTTGTTCGTCGTCCAATTAGTATAGCATCAACTGACTTTGTATAGATGTTTAACTAGCTATTGTATGCCATATTACAAGAAATAATAATTGTTCTAGACACCGCATATTACCATGGTGTCTACTATAGTTTAATTGATAACTGTATGTTAGGAAAAGAACAAGAAAGCAAAAAAAAAATAGTTTTAAAAGGGATTCTTATTGATCATTCAGAAAAAATATACTCTTATCAAATGTTCAAGAAATTTAAAGAGAATGACTTTTGAATGATTACAAATAAAGTTTTTGTATTATGCTATAATCGTTAATTGTGATCAAACTCTATTGCAGTCTGTTCATCGTCAAAATAACAATGAGGTGTTCTGTCTGATTCTATAGAATAGACCACATAAGCAGATTCACATTAAAGATGCGTTACCCTTATAATAGCTCATTTGTTTTTTATGATTTTAACGGGCCACGTAGACAAAATAGATATGCAATCAAATGATTCTTTTTTTGCACCGGAATTTTAGAAAAGAAAAAAAAGAAAGAAAGAGGTTCTAACAAGCTGTTGCACACACCTATCGAGTATGAAACAAGAAAAAAAAATGAGGACACAAAATAGTAGCACAGCAGGTTGCAATGATGATGCCGTGTAGCACAAGGTGAATGAAGGTTCTCGTCACAAAAAAAACGAGCAAGTCAAATGCAAAAGTATGTATATATCCAAATGATACAATTGATTCTATAGTCTTGAATGAAACATTATCATTGTTCAACTTTCACCTTTCCTTATTGCTTGAGACTATTCACACCTGTATGATAAGTGTGTTCCAGCTGATTATCGACAAATTTTCATTCCATCGTGATGCTCCCAGAGGCTATATAGAAGGTATATACTTCCCTTATCGTTCGTATGCGAAAGAAAAGATGAGGTACATTTGTTTATCTTTTCTCCTTCTGTAAATGGCAACACCATCGATATATGTGCTTCTTCGATGTATCCTGAGATGCTCTCTCCGACGTATATATATATATATATGTATGTGTGTGTACATCGACTATCTCATTATCATTCAATTATAAAGTAAACGAAATCTTAGATGAGTTTTCTCTTTAAGAAAAATAAATATGGGAAATCGAATGATTGTTGCATCGTTCTAATCGAGGAAAAAAGGTATTAATGTTGTAATGGAAGAAAATGTCTTCTTGTTTCTAAGCGGCACCAGGTGTTGAAAAGAAGAAAGAGTTGATAGAAAAAACAGGAAAGAGAAGAACAGAACGCCTGCATCGGTAGAATATATCTCTACTCATCAGATTATAATAGGACGAAGAAGAAAAGTAGTACATAAGTTGCACATGCATAAATACGCAGCAGTACCATTTATATATACATACACACACTTTTTGTACCGCCCTTTTTTCTTATTACTCTACACTACATACTTTTTATGTTAGATACGGTTTTAGATCTATTTACTGTGACACACATGCGCAATATGTGATAATAAATGCAAAAAAATCTTATTAAATTTATAGTTAGACTACATATGTAATGATGTTTTTCATCAAAAATAACATATCTAGTATGTGTATTAACGAGGTAGCGATCATTATACACGTATGCATAGCGCGAAAAAAGCTTGCCATTGATAAGAGAAAAAAACAAGATATCATTCTATTGCTTCATGTGCACCTATCCGAGGTGAGCAGAACAATATAAAAATGTTCGATGATTGGTGCAAGAATATATTCCCATTTTTCTTCTGCTCTCTCACGTCTTTTTGTAATATACCATTTCGGCACAATACACGTTTTATTTCAGTAGTAGAATATCAGAACAGGATAAGTAAGACGTATGCATATACGCATAACAGTAGTTTCTCTCGTGTATATTGAAGGTAGAATATCATCCTCTTGTTATTCGTTTGCAATACGGTATATCCATCATCATCGTCTCTATATAGATAGCAAACAAAACGCATTCATAGCATGGTATTGATTCTTTTTTTTTTTGTACACGAAGTGTCTGTCGGTCTGTCTATCTCTATTATTATAGTAACTCGTCGTCGAAGAACAATTTCATTTTTCAGAATTTTTCTTTTCTTTGATGAAGATCTATTAGCAATGCTAATATGTGTCAATCAGTCAAAGACAACTTTTTTTTTAAAAGCAGTATATTGTATGCACATTGTGTCGTTTACATAAATGAATATAAAGACAAGCTTACTCAAATTACAAGAAAATGAGTACGAGAAAATTTGTTGCTTATTTCCAACTAGTTTTGCTTTTCTATCAGGATGCTTTTCTTTTTGATTTGCTTTTACATAGAATATAAATGTCATAAGAACGAATCACCTTTTTTTTCTTCTTTCGTCAAACAGGTGTGAGAGCCAATCGAAGGAACATCTAATAGTTATATCCATTATTTGTTTTTTTTTCTGTCTCACTTGGACGGAAAAGAAAAGTTAGTCGTCTGTTTATGTAAATCAGTGTTCGGTCGGTGGTCGCGTAATGACGTTAGTTTATAATAATAATGTGTATGCGCGCATTCGTATCTTTCTCTATATTGTGCACAGCAGATCATGTCCGTAGATCGATTATACAAAAGAGTACTACTGTTATTACTGATGTTCTTCGTCAAGCAAAGTAGCAAATTTGATTAAGTATATATTACGTTCTAGCACATGCGGTTTACACTAATATGATCATATTTTTGAACACTGCATGCTACTGTCTATGTTTAATAGATCGAATTATATTGAAGACAGGTGGAAAACAATCATTAAGTTATTTGTTTTAATTTTTAGATTGAATCTTTATTTGATTTGAATGGATTTACCAATGATTGGAATGATGGAATTAGATCATAGTAAAGACTTTCTTTCAATGAAGTTTGTTGTTTTGCATTACTTGATTTTTCATTTAGTTAATGATGAATGTGATAGTGGTACTCATCAAGCCAAAATTTCATTAGATGAAGAGATTTCGCCTACAATTGATGAAACTGGTAATAATGAATATTTGATGAATGAATTGAAATTAAAATGTATAGAAAATAAAACCTCGGTTCAATTCAGATAAAGCTTAAATAATCATTTTTATTTTATTTTTATAGTATTTTTCACTATTCACTTTTGATAAAAACTAACGATAAATAATGTCAACAATCAAAATTTTATTTATGCTGAATTATTGCTCAACATCTATTGAATTAAATAAGATTGAGATATATCGTTTAATAAGATCAGTCTTTTCTCTAACTAACAGAACAAGAATAAAATTTCTCAGTTTTTTTCGATTACGATTTCCATTATGAAATGCTACCAAAGATAAATTTCCAAGCCTGATGTTTTTCTTAAAGTTAACACGTTGTTTTTACTCTAACTATTCATCTCTCTAATAACTAACAAAACAGACTATCGATTTGAAGGAAAGTTTTCTTTTTTTGTTCAAATACACTTTTATAATCCACAGACAGATTCTTTTCAATATATCATCTAGTTAAACCGAATCAATACATGCATGTTAGAAGGTAAAAGATTCAAGACACTAATTGTAAACAACTTGTTTAAGGTAGCATCACAATTGAATGTAACTTTTTTCTAGAGTCACCGATGATATCCTCATCTTTGAAAATTTTCGTTTTTAGTACTCATTAATTACCACGACAAGGTCCGACTTTAGAGTTTGTCGCGTTCAAAGTTTTCGCACCCAGATCCTATCGAATCGTATTTTCATACTCTCAATGAAATTTTCTAATCGAAATAGAAAAGCCGTCCCGAATATACGAGATACTTTTTTCCGGTCTTTTATACTCAATGACTAGCAAATTTAACACATTTCTCAAACGACTGGAATCTACACCCTAAAATTTTCGAACCGAAACCAATCGGAAGGATTACAGTCGATCCCCTCTCAATCCTGGTGACCTCGGAATATCTCTGTTTAGAATCATTGACTAACATCATTTTGATCTCGATTATTTTTCTTGTATTAAAGATGAAAATGAATGAGAAAATTTTTATTAAACTTCAGCCTTTAGAACATTCATTTTATCTTTATATTTATATTTAATCTTGTATAAATCATTAATATCTTTTCTTTTAGAAACAAATTCTTCGAAATATAAACTTCCTGATGATTTAATATCATCACTCGAATATTCTTCTGAACAGATGCATTGTACACATTGCAATGCTAGTTTTACTACTAAAGTATATTTGATAAAAAAAAATTATTTGATATTTCTTACTGCTTTTTAAATAGAATGATTTACGTCAACATGAATTAAATCATAATGCAAATCAGGTATCATGTCATATATGTCATAAAATTTTTGCAAATACCTATCGTCTTCAACGTCATATGTTAAGTCATGAAATAGATCCTCAAACACGAAAATTTCAATGTTCACATTGTCCAAAAGCATTTAAATTCAAACATCATTTAAAAGTATTTGAAACAAAAAAAAAAAACAAATAAAAAAAAAGAAAATCAATTTTCTTTCTGTAGGAACATATTCGGATTCATACTGGTGAAAAACCATTTGTTTGTCCTAATTGTAATAAACGTTTTTCTCATTCGGGCTCATATTCATCACATATGGCATCAAAAAAATGTTATTCATCAAATTCATCTTATTTACATAATCCTGAAATAGAAGAAGGTGAAATTTTACCTATAAAAACTGAACAAAATCAATTTAATGATCTATCAAAATATTTTGCTATTAATGAACAATATGTTCAATATTATTTTCATATTTTACAAAATACAATTTATCAAACGGAACCATTAGATTTATCAATAAAAAAATCCGGTGAATCTCATTTAGATGAAAATGATTTAATAGAATCATTAAGTCCAAATAGTTCATCTGAAATAAGTCTTTTATCACATGATGATTTATTAACTAATAAAAGATTAACATGTGATATATGTGATAAATCATTTAATAAACAAAGTTCATTAGCACGTCATAAATATGAACATTCAGGTAAAGAAATAACAAAACGAAAAAAATAAAACAAAAATATGTATTTAGGTGTTCGACCATTTATTTGTGATATTTGTAAAAAAGCATTTAAACATAAACATCATCTTGCTGAACATCGTCGATTACATACTGGTGAAAAACCATTTCAATGTATGAAATGTTTCAAGCGTTTCAGTCATTCAGGTTGAATGAAAATTTATTTTTTAACATTAACAAACAATAATTTCGTATTTCTTTTATCCTAGGTTCATTTAGTCAACATATGAATCATCGATATAAATATTGTCGTCCTTATCAAACAGAAATTGATACAAATTTAAATGAAACTTCCAATCAACAACCTATAATAGATTAATTGATGAATATAAGAAACTCCATGATGCCATATTCCGAATATTTTCGAGTTTGATATATCAGATCTTGTCATGCACATCATTAATGAAATCTTTTTCTTTATTTATCAATCCTTTACTATTGTATGAACAAAGATTTTCATTTTTTTCTTTTACCTTCTTACTACTATTAAGAGTTATCAATTGTTCATTGTTGTCTGATGATGTTTGTGTTTTGTTTTGTATAAATGTGTGGTATGTTCTATTCAAGAGAAAAAAAAATAGTCAATCTTGTTTTTAGTAAAAGAAACGAAATAAACAATAGTCGAGTGTCTGGTTATAACTATATACAATATATTTACATTAAAGTTTTATTCATTAGAAAACTCTCAGATAAAAATACTGTACACGGTAAAGCTAAAAGTACACTAAAAAAAAATACCACTTATTTACTCATCTTAGCGAATGTAATGACTTCAACGTATCCATGTACTAGATCAGTTGTCAGTTGGATAACTTTTCGGACACTCACTTGTGAATCGTCTCAGCACATGGATACTTACCAGGTATCCATTCAGTTTTTACGGTGTTTTATAAAAGCTTTTTGAACAAGTTAGTAGATTCAACATGTAAAAGCATTTTGTAATAAAGTTCTAAAAACTCCTAAAGTATCTAAAGGTATCTGGAACATTCTAGTAGATTCGAACTTAGTATATTGATTAGGGCAGTCATCGATTCATATTGAGCCAATGTTTCTTTTTGTTGCTTTGTTGTTACGGATGCATTTCATAGAAGAGAAAACTTGTATATTTATTATTTTTTTCGTTTCAAACAAATTTGATTTTAAGTTTTCCGAAAGATATATATCAATGTTTTTTTGCATGACACTGAATCACATACAAGCATTGAAATCTTATATCATATTTCGAGCATAACGGTATTCATAGAGCTGATATTTTATCACGAATGTAGAACAATATTCTAATTGATATTTTCTAAGGAGGGAAAGTGACTTTTTTTTCAATTTTGCTAGATGGTACAGCACTGCATGATGTTGAGAATAAGTGTTGACTCTGGCAAAACACTTTCTTTTGAAAGTATCGGTTACAATAAACAACTGTATTTATGATAGAACACCTACTATATGAATACCCCAAATAAGTAACATTTTATTATGTATAATAATTGGAAAAATAAACACAATATATCAGCATGAAGAAAACTATAACTGAAGTAAACAATTTGTCATCATTGATTGTCGATAATCGGTTATAGAATAACATCCGGTAAACACGGTGATATATTACTGTATGATTGTATAGGAATATTACCTTCAGTTTTTGCTTTATTAGACTATTAGCTCTGCTATTAAATAATTGTAAAATAGTATAAAACTGAATTTGTATAAACAATATATCGATGATATATGAAAAAAGGAAAAAGTTCCATTGGTTAATTGCGCCATCTATCTATCTAAAGTGCCAATAGTAGTATAACGACTATTTCTTCTGTTTCGAATTGGAATAACCGTTTTCTTTCTCTTTCGTTTACGTATCATGTTTACGGTCGATGATTAATAATTTTTGTGAAATAAAATAAATTGGAATGATCATCTGATTTTTGTTTTGTGATTATGATTTGATAGTTAATGTTTTTACTGAATATTTCGTTTTCTTTTTATTTTACTTCAAGTGAAATTTGTTGAGAGTTTATTTTGGTCTTTAGTAGTTTTTTCTAAGTGACACGTATAGAATTCTTAGCAAGAATGCAAATATTTAAAAAAAATCTATTATAATCGTTTTATTGACAGTTAAATATTTATCATTCGTTTCTTTTTTCTTTTAAAACTGATATTCTTCAGAACAGTTATCGTTCGGTTCATAATTATGTACATAAATCAAGAGCGCAAAATAGAAGTGATTGTAAACATACGTAAGGATCGTTATAAGAAAAATTTACAGGGAAGCATGATATTTTAATTGTGCAATACTTAACAATTTTTTATTTTTTCTGTATCACGAGAAAAGAAAGATTGAAAAGAATGAAAGCAAAATATTTTCTTTTTTTCATAATATTCTATTCTATAAATTAACAAATTATTTTCAAATAAATAAATAAATAAGTTTTTTAGATTAAAAAACATATTAGCCATCGGCACCTAGATCACTATGTCAGGTCGAACGCCGAATTTTATTGTTGTTGGTATTTTTCTAATCATGTTGCTTGTTGGAATTTTTTACACATCATGTTCATCGAAAACAACTGAACTTCAAGAAGCATTAGCAAGTTTTGAAGAACGCATACGAACAGTAAAAGAAAATCTTTCAAATATACAAAAGAATTTCTTTGATATTTTGTTTTAGTTAGCAACAAAAAATACTGAAAAAGATAAAGAAATTGAATCGATTAGTGCAACTATACGTGAATTGGAAAATCAAAAAACAAATATTCGAAACCAAATGGATAAAAAAGATTCAGAAATAAATGATCTTATTACAAAATTGAATGAAAAAAAAGTACAAATTGAAAGTTTACAATCGGACAAACAATCTCTTGATGTTCAACTAGTAAATTAATATAGAAATAATTATTTTCTAATTTCTATAATTATTTGTTTTCTTTTTTATTACCTTATAGACAGAATTTAAAACTGTCAATGAAACACTTGCTTCAAAAAATGCAGCTATTGAAAAATTACAAAACGAACTTGATGAAGAAAAAAGTTTGTTTTATTTATTATGTGTTTTTTTCAATCATTAAATTAAATGTTTAGAATCTAATGATGAACAATTAAATCGTTTGAAACAAGAAATTAACAATTATAAAAACCAATTGTGAATTTAAATAATTGAATTTTTTTCAAAATTAAATATCATGTTTTTGGTTTTTTAGAAATCAATCACAAAATAATGAAGAAAATCCTCTTATCATTCCAAGTCAACGTTTTCAACCATTATTATCACCTAATGAAACAATTAAAACTTCTTTATTAGGATCTCAAGAGTCTTTAGCTCAACAGGATCAAATAAAGATCGAAAGTAAAGAAAACATTTCTAGCGTCCTTGGTAGTGGAAATAATTCACTAGCAAATCAAACGATTCCCACTAATGAAAAACAACAGCTGCAACTCAGCCAAAATGAATCAGTTTCTATATTACCCAAAAGTGGTTCAGCAGGTAATACTTCCACTTTTTTAGTCATATAGTTACTTAGAATAAGAGAAGATCTTAAGAACTGATCTTGAACAAAATGCTTTGAAATTACATGAAATTTTCAGTCTTATATCATGGCTTTTTCGAGAGATATTCAACAAACAAGAGTAAAAAAATAGGTCATTTAGCAAAACAAAATCTTTTGTCGATCCTCGTTCTATGTATTTAATTGTTTTCTACCTCAACGAGTGTATCAGATTGAAACGTCCTTTAAATTCGTACTTTTTATGCCAAGAAAAAAAGGATGTCAAGTTCAATACGTTGGATAGCTCTCAAAAAATGGTTCTTTATTTAGAGAAGTGCTGTTTTTTTTATATAATGATTAAAAAGCTTAATTCAAAAGAACAGACACTACAGCCTCACATGCTCTTTTCAACAAAAAAAACGCAATTGGCTCAAGCCCCGACACATTAGAAGACCCGGGGTCTTCTATTTTGTCTTGTCGTTCAATAGTTACAAGGGGGTCTTCTAATATGTCCCTTAAAAAAAGCTATTTTTTGGTAGTGCTGCCAACAAATTTTGGTTTCAGCCAATTTTGCTCGATGCATTGTTAGTAAAAAAATTTCTTTTATTTATTCCTCATGCGTAGAATGAGAAAGAAACATATTATCCTGTGGAAAAGAGCGAGTTCATAGTTAGTAAGTTGCCTTAGAACAATCCAGACAACACTCCCTCACATATTGGTACAATGTCCAATAGAATTCTTTTTTCTAAAGAATTCTATTGTCAGTGTAAATATTTAACCTTCTAAATAACTGAAAAAAGAAAAATAATTTTGTTTTGCCGAATTTACTTCACGCAGTTGTTTATGTTGAGGTTTGATTAGTACCGATGGAATTCGTATCTAGTGACGTCTACCACTAACATAGTTATTGATCACAAATTAACTTCAATGAATACGGTTGTCTCGTGAAGACACAGCTTGTAGAACAACAGCAGTTGAATACACATTCTGCGTTTTCTTTTGTGTCTGTTTCGAAAAATATCTTTAGATCGTATTGAAAAAAGATATACGTTCTCAGACTCACAAGTAATGACAAAACAAACTCTGACGTGCGTACATGAAGTAAGGTTTTCTTCAATTATGGAAATCTGCTTTGGGATAAAGATGTTTCTGAATCTCTAGAAGAAAGTTACAGATGAAGAAGCTTTTTAATTAATATTAAAGGAAATTTTATTAAATATGCTACTATTTTACAAAGATCTCTTCATGTGCTACACTCGCCAATGTGCACTCATTCCACTAGATCTTATTATCATAGAAAGGTTTTTTCGCCTAGAGAAATTAATGAATTTTTCCAGAGTAAGCTGCAAAGAAGCATTAAAATGACTCCACNATCACGTCATAAGGTCATAAGGGCGATGTTTTCTCTTTTTTCTTCCTACAGACTAAAATAATACAAAGTAATCTCGCTATCCATGATAACAAGTAGTTGTTTTACGTCGATTATAGAATTAAACGCCATGTGGCTCGCGTTTCTTCTTTATTTGCTTGTGGTCGCACATCCTCATTCAAATTCATATCTCCACCCTCACATCTAGAGATGTACACGGGACCAAAAAAAATTTTTTGGTACCGATAAAAGATGAATATGCTGTTTCATCAATTTCATTGATACAGTGTTGTTTGACTGCGCATTTTGTCCAGGAATGTTTTCTCTGTCAGGATATGTATTTCAAAATATATCACATGTATGCTTTATGAATTAATTCAGCAAATATGATGACTGTGCCAGATTGGTTTCGGTCATTTTTTCGCTAAATTCATTGATAACGAAGTCTTGTAATATATTTTGAAATGTATAGATTGACGGAGCAAATATTTCTCTATAAAATGCACAGTTAAACAATATTTTAACAATGAAGTTGATGAAACAGCGCGTAAATTTTTTACCATGATAAGAAGTTTTTTGGTGCCGTGCATATCTTTATCCGCACCCTCAACCACGTCTCACATCCATACACAGCCAGATCCCTATTCCAACTGACACCCACACCCTAGTTTCATGCTCAACTTTCCGGTGCTGAACGTTCTCGTGCCCATCGTTCATATTACCCTATCACAGCATATAAATGAATATCTAAATAAGTATTTAAATCATGTGTCTTGCTAGAATTCTCTACCAATATAGATGTCGATCAATAGAAAGCGCAAAAAGTGAAATCGAAATAGCAGAGTTTACTACTAGTTACGTTGGCAAATAATGGAAAAATAGCGGTACATTTATTGCAAATTGTATTTTCATCATATCTCATGCTAGGAGACAACGGATAGGTTCTGTGAGCCTTGTGTGCGTGTGTCGTATTTCATAGAAAGAAAAAATATAGATTGAATTCATTCAGTTCACTAAAACGTTTAGAATAATTACCTCAAACATAAATGCAGAGCAGATATTATGAAGAAAATATGGGGCAATATGAGTAAATACTTACATTGTTTATTCATTCACATTTTTTCTAAGGTCTTGTTTTCATGACTATCATTGGTACGCTCACGATGAGTTTGTCATCGAACAATTTTACATTAAAAAATATATATTTGACTTGGATTGCACGAAAAAGACAACCGTTAAAATTATAACGATCGATATAACAACAACTACATTGACTATTACAATAATGATTACAAGCAATACCAATTTTAAAATCACTACAAGCATTCATGTGCAGAATAACATTGATCATAGTGTGATTGGGATATACGGAATTCATTACAGAGCTCTCATCACCACTGCTTTTATTTGTTGACCGAAACATGCAATTAGTTGTCAATGCTATCATGAAAAGGAGAATATTAATGAAATTTGTCATGATTATCGTCTTCAATCGTTGATAGTAAGCCATTTTAAGATCATTGATGATATGTTGATAAGTAATAAATCTTTGAATGAAAACTATTTTGCAGTCATATTGCTGTCAGTTTATTTTCGTGGGTCATCATCTGTTATGCCTCACATATTCTCTTTCCTATGTCTATGACTAATCAAGCAAACTGGAAGGGAAGAAGCGAGAAAAAACCTACTGCTACTCTTGTGGGAGCGTAATGGTATGTTATATAGAAGAAGACTAGGTGCAATTGTAATATTCTTTGCATCTTCACATTATACACAATGATTATTTCGAAGATATGGGGCAAACAAGAGTGAGATAACTGAAATCAAATTCTTTTTTTTTGAATATGCTGGTTTCTTTATTAGAAACAGAGGTTTAACAGTTGATTTTTTAAAATTTTCTATCAAATTAAAATAAAAAGATTAATGTAACTAGAAATTTCACAAAAATGAAAACAATCGGAAAAATCAAAAGCATCACTTTAGTAATGCTTATTGATAGACCCTCATTCTTTTAGTGTAAGAATCGTCTTCTTTTAACAACCAGATGATACCTACTGATTTAAATTATAAGAAAAATCCTTAAAATCAAGTCACAGAACATTGAAAATGAGACCCTTTTGAATAAGTGATTGTTTGGTTTAAAATTGATGAAAAACAGAAAAGTCAGTTCTGCCCCGTTGAGTATTTTTCTGTTTCTCTTTCTTTCGTTTATTATGGGTGGGTGCTTGTGTATTTTTTCTTCTTGCTCACATCGAAACTGTCGAGAAAAGTAACTCTGACTATTTGGTAGTTGCAGAAAAAAAAGAATAATACGGCAAAAGAAAAAAGATTGACCAAAAAAAAGGTACATTGACATACTATATGCAGAGAATAAAAAAAAGTATTAGAACGTCTATGTTTTTGTGTATTTTCGTTGTATGCACTAGCAAGAGCAAATATTCTTTTTTTTCTTACAAATAGGTAGACTCTTCTTCCTTCTGTATAATTTACAGAAGTTAGAGTTTTCAACTGTGATATCGAGTTGTGTGGGTTTTTATCATCGTCATCATGTTGTTCCTATTCAGAAAAATACAAGTCTTTTTCTTGCAAAACATGGCGCATACGTTTCCTCTATGGATTTCCTGCTTCAATGGACATCCCGAGATAAAGCGAAGTTCTATCTTTTTTTTATAATTTTCATTATACACAATACCAACTTTTACTAAAGAACAATCATCTTTCTGAAGTCTGCCAAAGTACAATGTCGATTGAAGCTCTCTACGAAATATCAGTCAAACTTAGCAACCAAGCACGTTATTGAAAAGCCCATTAGAAGCTATATACACTCATATGATTTAAAACAATTCATGCATTGACTCTGAAGAGAATACAGATGCATTTGGCTTCTGCAGCATTGCTATCCTCAGTCTTTTAAACTCCTCCATAGCTGTTTTCGTCGGAAAAAGCGCAACAGATCCTGTTTGTGTGAAGCACAACATTCTACAAAGAGGGTGCACTGACGACAATCAACTAGCTTTATGATGAATTATGATCGAAAAGCGTGAGAATCAGCGATAAAAGTCATATATTTTCCTCATTCAGCTCTGCTTCTACACGACGAAAAAAAATACAGCGCTTTCGTTCTTTCGTTCGGTTTTTATCGTCAACTTATATGACTAAAGCGAGCAGAAAGGTAAATCGTCGCCCCATGATGTTTTTCTGTTTATAGATTGTGTTTCTTCATTAACATCGAGTAAACAAAAACTAACGACATGTGCGATCAAGATGCTTGGCCTCATTTGATAGGAAAGCCAGTGGATATTGCCGTGGAAGAAATCAAACGAGACAATCCAAGTAAGATGATTGCTGAATTCCACCATCAGCTTTTTCTTGTCTAAAACAGTTATGTGATCGTAGACGAAAGAAAACGTCTTGATTTTAAATTTTAAATTAATGTTTAACTATTTATCTGCATTTTACTTGTTTTAGACTTACATATCGTTAAATTGCCGGAAGGTTCACCTGTAACACACGACTTACAATTCAATCGTGTACGTGTCTTCTTCGACAAAAATGGTAATGTTTCAAATGAGCCACAAACTGGTTGAGCATCATCAGTATTGCCATAAAAAAACACGGGAACATTGATTTTTTAAAATAGGTTACCTAGAGATTATAAG